GTGTGTGTGTGTGTGTGTGTGTGTGTGTGTGTGTGTGTGTGTGTGTGAAACGCGATTCGGTTGCTTGTCTCTCTCTGTGTGTGCTGTGCAACAATATGAGAATTGTATGTTATCGTTTGTATGCGGACTGAAATCATGAGCTTATCCAAGCGAAATAAGTCGCAATGCCAATTTCCAAATGACCCTTTCCAATTATATTTATCTTTGCTTATAGCTTAGTGTGTACAATGAAAATGTGCCAGATTTTGAAAAGCAACAACAGCAACAAACAGACAACATTGACTCCCAAGGTACAAGTCGTCAATAGGCTAACGAACGAAAAGGCAAACATTTGTTTTGAATCTTCGGTTTTCTCTCTTCTTCTTTTGCTTTGAGTATTTCTCTTCCAATCTCAGTCTCTCACTCACTCACTCACTCTATCACTCTCACACCCTACTCCGCTCTCCGTTTTTTTTCAACAACACTCTACCATTCAAACAGTTATTTTATGGCGATAACATATTATCAATGTATTTCCGACGTTACGATTGTGATCTGCTTGGTTCCGTCTGCGCTTTATTGCTTCCTGTTTATTAAACCCATGGTAAAGAGTAAACAAAACTCATTCACTGAGAGTGGATTTGATACTGGGGCGCATTTAAGCGAATATTGACCTGAATTTCACTGTAAACCCAAATTACACGCCGCACATTGGAATGGAATGGTTTTGAATTGGATGAAGTTTAAACAATTATATTCATGAATGAATTTCCATACAAACTCAATTTGGCCGAGACGTTTTTTCCACGGCGATTTGGAAGACTAGTTTTGGGAATTGAAGTTATAAATCTAATAAATCATATACTTTAACCCTCTAATGCATATATTTTATACAGAGCTGGGAATTTTTTTCCATGCTTATTTTACCTCATAAGCACTTAAAAAAATATTCATAATCTGGTATAATGCTGGAATTATCAATAAATCGCAAAAATCAAAATGGTCTTATAAGTACAGTCATGCATTTACGACCAATATGGAAATTGCGAAGTATATGAACAAACCGAATTTGCATAGCTGTACTTATAAGAACAGCTTGCAAATTGAGTGATGTTGACATCGGAATTCGTGAATATCATTTTTTCTGGATTATTTGTGATAAAAATAGGTTAAAATAAAATGAAAATAAAATTCCACACTAAACCAAGCACACAAAATATCAAACAAAAAGAAATCCAAATTGCATGGCTGTACTTATAAGAACAGTATGCAAATTGACGGACAAATGTTGCACAATTGTAAAAAATCATTGAACTTGAATTGAATTTGGTTAAAAACACTCCAAATAAGCAGAAAAAAAATTCCTGAGGTCAACAAAATAATTTTATTCGATTTAATCACGTTTCAAAAACAGGACACGAAACGAAAATAATTTATTTTTACGGAAACGTCGTTTTCTTGTACAAATGTTGTCATAACTTGACACTGGTTGACCGCACACAAAATTTTTATGAGAAAGAAATGTGCGCTAGTGTTCTCCAACGAAAACTGGCATACATTATTTTGTGACATAATCAATGATTCGCATTATAGAAAGGTTTAAATGAACCAACCTTATAAGTTCACGTATGCACTAGAGGGTTAAACAGATACTAGTTCATTTGGCTGGGAATATGAACAAATTAATCCTTTCAAAAGTTCGACTCAACAGACTTCGTTCCCATTTGTCATCTGTCATCTGTCATTGAGTCAGACCGAAAACAAGAACTCGTTTTTTTTTTCACATGAAATATGAAAATCGTCTTTAAAAATGTTTAGAAACAAGTACTTTAGGTACCTACTCAAATTGAACGTATCAAACCGCGATATCTCAAGTACCGATCAAACACCGGTTCATCCACCGAAAATCACACTCGTGTTCAATGCACGTAAGTGAGTGTACTCATGTGCTCAACAATGGCCCACTTTTTGTCATTCCCATTCGAAATGGCAAAAATTGAAACAACTTGATCTCGCCTAGATAAGTACGTTCGAAGTAGAATGGCATGCTATTTTCGTCCTTCTGCATAGTCTAGTGCTTCAGATTTTCTAGTACGAATTCCCCGTCACATAATAAATGTTTATCAACATGACAGTTTAAATTGGTGTTTTTTTCACACATTTTTTTTTTCTTGCCTGGTTGGTGTATTGAATCACGGTAATACTGGGATTTGGATGGATAAAACTTTTTTTCTCTGGCAGTAATGCCAGACCGATAAAGAATCCGGGTGGAAAAAAGTGTTGTATTCGAACCGGTGAATTGAGAGCAAACTTTACTCATTTATATGGGCACGCGACAATTTTGGGCCGAAAATAGAATATTTTTTCTTCGATTGACTCGTGAACGAATTGATGGCGTACAGCGAATTGCATTTTTTATGCAAAATCCAGTTTGAAAAACGATGTTTTTTTGTATCGATTCGACACTATCGGAATGCCATTTCTTCAGAAATCTCTATCAGAAACTATTCGTTCCGTCTGAATGACCGGATACATTGACAGTACTCAACGTCTCGAATTTGCCATTGAAATGTATCCCTTCTGTGAATGGCAATTTAATTGACGCAGATAACTTACAAAATGGTTGTGATAGTTTACTGAAACATGAACTCGTTTACATAATTAAAAATTACCTTTACAATAGCATCACACGGGTTGCCACACCGCCGGAAGTTGGCATTCTCGAACAATGTAATTTAATTACGAAATATCTGCCTTAAATGGAAATTATTATCTCAAACAGCCAACATTTGCATAAAATGCATTTAGCAGATGTTTTAGTCAAATCGAAATTTGTTATTCACGACATATGTAACAGTCTATGGTGAGTGTGAGTTAGACAATGTTAATGGAACTGTTTGAAATTTTTTTGAAGGAGAAGAAGAAGCATTCACAAGTTGCTCTGCACCAGACAAGCATTCACATACTTCAACAAAGCTATCTAAACTTTGTAAGAATTATTATAATTCTCATTTAAAAACAGCATTCTGCTATTTCATATCTGAATATTTCGCGCAATCCTCGCTTTCTTCCTCTCTATTCCGTCTAACTCTCGTTATCGCTTTCTCTCGCCACCTCTATCGTCTCATTAAAACATCGCATGCATTGACAATTACAATGCAAAACAGATAAAAATAACATCAGGGATTAGAAACTTCATAATATGAGTTAGCGCAAATAAATTCACATTAAAATCGCGCACAATTCTGCCAAATCTGTTTGCAGTTCGCACATTTCCATCTCCCTATGCCGTGGAACAGTGTGGAGTGAGACTTGCATAGTGAAAACAAATAAAAGAGGGTGTCACAAACAATGCACAATTGAAGATCCCAAAACTGGAGGCAAACACACACAATTTCGATACAAATGTTTTAGTGCAGATAGAGACGCGCGCGTGGTGCATTTAGAGTGGTAGTAGCAGCCAACCATCACCATCACCACTTGCGATACTGTTTCCATTCGACGAACAAAAGAGTTACGAAATCGCACACACAATTGTTATTGTGAGCGAGCGAGAGCAAAAAAAGAGCCGAAAACGAGAATAGAGAACGAGAGAGAAAACTCAACGCCGCTTCTGTTTTGCTGTGATATGAACAGATAAAATGAGCTTAATTTTCATTATGTGCATCGTGGAACGAATGTGTTCATTTCGAATCTGTTTATAACTATTATATCGAACAATGTCCATGTTATGTCTGCGTGTTTTGTCCCGCTGCACTTCGATTCAAAACAATTCAAACGAGAATTTAAGGAATTCTAATCGGTTTATGAGCTATTCTTTTGAGTTTAACATTTGATGATGTTGATGTTTGGGAAGAAACATTTTTTTCTTAACTTCAGTTAAAAACGCATGGAGGAAATCGGATCAGGAACGATCTTCAGGATAAAGGAAATCATGCAATTTGCCTTGAAATTAATGAATTAAAAAAAATACCGTTTTTAAGCAAATTCTTTTCTTTAAATCCTCCAATCGAAATTTCTTCATTTGAATCTCAATTCAAATGCCCTTCCAGTTTGTCGGCAGAACCTCTTGAATCTAGTACGCTGCGCCGTTATCATGCGTACTACAGCAATCATATTCCAATTGTCATATGAACTGTCAAATAAACACCGAGTTTTTCATATTACAAGTCGATGTGAAAATTTGTTGGTTGAGAATACTACGTATCGTTGAAAAATTCCGAAAAATCGTCCAGCAAAATGGCTTGCAGACGATTCATTGCAAATTGTGTTGTATCTAACAATCTAAAATCAGTGCGTTCATTGCCAGCATTGTCCACAAGAGCCTATTCAACCGAAAAGGAGGAGATTACAAAATCGACTCATACAGGCCAGGTACACTTGTGATGTGATTTTCAATGGATTTCGAATGACTTGAATGTGAATCGAAACCGAATCGATCGAAGTTAATTCTAATTTGTGATTTGTTTATTTGCAGGCATTCGAACCAGACGACTATCGAAATGTGCGATTCACAGATGCAACGCGTTACGTCAACAAGAACTGGGGTACGTTGTCATTGTTTGCTCGATTTCGTGGCTTGGAACAATTGCAGCAATATTTGATTTAATGCTTTAATTTTCTATGATAATTTCGGTGCGATAGGTATCAATTTAATAGCTGAGGTACCACCGAAGGAATGCACGGAACGTGTTGTTTATTGTGATGGTGGCGATCCACATTTAGGTCATCCAAAGGTTTACATCAATTTGGTAATGCATTTCCATTCCAACGGACTGTATTTTAGTCAAAATGTGAAATATTGACTAATTTATTGATCACAATTTCAGGATAAACCAGGACCACATGCATGTGGCTACTGTGGTCTTCGATACGTTCTCAAAGAGGGACACCATCATTAGGAGAGAAAAACAACCACATTTTTGATGTGTTGCACATATATTGCTAGAAATTACATCCAATTGAATCACTAGTCAACTGACTGTGAAAATGTTGAATAAATGATTTTGTGAAGAGAAAAAAAAACGAATTCAGTAAATTTATTATGTAATTTTGTCAATGTTTTGATTCGTTTTCATTCAATATATGTAGATGAGAGAGAGAGAGAGAGCGAGACAGAGAGAGAGAGAAGAAGAAGAGTGAAATGTGTCATTGGACGCACCCATTTCACATGATTGCTGGGTCGGTGTATGTATGTGTGTGTGAATGTGTGCGTACGTGCGCTCTGTGCGAAACCTGCAAACATTTACACACAAACAATCATTATTTTATTTTGACATATCGTATATAAATTTGTTCTAGAGATTTCAGTTCCGAAGCAAAGCTGATTCAATTCAGTGTGTATCATTGGCTGCATCCATATATACTTGTTTTGCAAAACGTTGCGCTGTGTAGTAGTAAAGCACACACAAAAAAAAGTCATATAGATAGATTGACAAAAAAGAGACCAGAGCGAATCTTTGATAAGACAAAATTGACTAAAAAAAAATCGATTGCAGCGATTTTTTATTGCGTTTGAATTTTATCATTTTCGTTTTTCCTGTTCTTTTATTTCCGTTCTCATTCATTCGACAACAGCCCTTTTTGTCGTGTCTGTGAAATTGTTTTGTGCGAAAGAAAAAGATACTCAGCGACGGACAACGATAAAATGGATATTTTGAAGAAAATGTTTGGCTTGAATGGTGCAGCCGAAAAAGAAGTTGCCATCAACGATAAGAATGCCAAGAGGTGAGCAAAACAAATTTCCTTTATTATTTCATCCGAAAAATCCGAAAAATTTCTTCCGTGTGTCAATGGTTTGCATTGATGCCGTACTGCGTACATGCAACGAATTCGATGCGAGAGAGAGTTTGGTGAAAAATCGATAATCGGTGAAAATGATAATCGTAATACGTCGAGATAAACTCAAAATTTATTCACTTTTTTTTATTGGCTCTTTCTGTGAATTGTATTTTATGACAGCGAGGAAATTAGATCACACCGTATTTTTCGGAATAAGTAGTTTCACCGATTTTATTTGTTTATTCCACTGAATTGCGATTTTTATTTCTTTTTCCCCGAAAATTCGTCTGATGTTTATTTCGACGGAGTGTTAAACGATGTTTGCAAACTGTGTGTTTAATGAACGCTTTTAGCACGTTATATAATTGCCGCCACTTTTGATTTAATGCTGCATGATTTGCATTTTGTTTATGATTGATGTACATTTTTCCGCTTCTTTTTTTTTGTTTACAGCAAAGTGCCAGCATTCGGGAATGATTTCAAGAAGCCGATTTGGTATGACGAAGAGTCCGATGATGAACTATTTGACAACAACAAGGTGTTCGGATTCCAAGTCTTTTCCAATCCAATGGAAATCCAAAAATATCACGAACAACAATTGCAACGCATGCTTAAAACATTTGAGCAATTTGATGGTGAGTGACATTTTTGTTTTTATTTCCAATCAGAATCATGGCTTGATTCCTAAGAGATTCTGATTTGATTCTACATGAATGCACTGACTAAGTGCACCCATTTCATGAAGAATTCCTCCATCTCATCTTCATGTTCCATTGTCTCTTCTTCAATTGAGGCTGTGAGAATGAAAATGGCAATACAGGAATAAACATTCTGAAGCGCATCAAGAAAAAAAAATTCGCAAAAGTGAATCATGAGTTCTGAATACGCAAAAATGAACCATGAACCTCCTATCCTGCCCATGTAAATTCATGTTTCACTTTTGCATATTCAGAACTCATGATTCACTTTTGCGAATTTTTTTTCTTGATGCGTTTCAGAATGTTTATTCCGGTATTGCCATTTTCATTCTCACAGCCTCAATTATTCAAAATAATTACACAATTTTTTTCTGTTCATTTTCATCAAGCAGATACCAAGGGATTTTTCGATGAGAGTTTTCGTGAGGAATACATGAAGCCTGGATTCGAGAATTTTGAGAAGTTTTCCGAAGTAAAGCCATCGGTTGATGTTGATTTGGATGGTGAGATTTATGCGGATCAATTGCATTCCTTGTTGCAGCGCATTTCTCCAGACTTGGAGAATATGCGCGCTAAGACATTGGTCCCGAAGCAACCGGAGCCAAAGCGCAAATTGACCGATGAGGAGAAGATTATGGATCAGATTCATTGCATTGATGAAGAGGAGAAACGTGTTGAGGTTCATCCATTCAAGAAGCACGGACCACCAAATGTTCGTATTCCGCACTATGGAGGTGCATTCGAGGGCGTCATTGACGGACCAAAGACTCATCGTCAAACCTTCTCGTATCAGATGGTTCGCAAGCCAGAAGGCACCTATACAACCAGCACCGTGATCGATCTAAGTGGAAACACCAAAACGGTCATCAAGCGCACAGTCGATGGCGAGACCAAGACTCAAACACTCGTCAACGGGGTTGATGTTGATGAGAAGAATGCCGGTGTCGGTGGCATCACTGACATGGTCAAGAAAAACGATTGGATCATCGATTGTGGCCGTCATTTCTATGTGAACAAGAACGGTTATGCTTTGCCCAAGAATTTGTGGTGACTGGAAATTTGGAAGCTCAGCATTCAAAGCATCGCATCAATCTACTATCATGCACTAGTTGTTGTCGTTATTCTTCTGTGTCTATCAAACAACAGTAACCAAATCATAAATACTACTACGATTCTTACAAATATTATTAATTCAAATCCAAACAATTCCACCAGCCGCCGCCGCCGCCGCCGTCGCCACCGCTGCGGCAGCGACAGTAGCAAAAATATCAAAGTTACAAATTCTCAATCACAATTGGCCGAACGATTAGGGAATGAGAGCACGTTTATGCATGTCATGTACATCACCAAAATCAGATGAAAACAATTGTTCATCAAATTTTCGTTAAAATTTGATTATTTAAAATTCGATCACAACTATGATTTTAGGTAGTGTTTATTTATTTTCAATTTAGGTTCTTTTTTATTCTTCTTCTTCTTCTTTTTTTCGTTGTTAATTATTGTTGTTAAACCAACACTTTGGTTCCTTGAAGCTTTAATTTGGAAGAAAAAAAGTGTTTTTCTTTTCAATTTCGGTTTAATGTTGAGTTCGAATGAGTCGCTTAAGGCACAAACGAATTAGTACAAAAAATGAATTACGGTTTTTTACAATAATCATCGATTGAGAAAAAGATTTTCTAGTTTTTCGTTTAATTTCTTGTGCAATTTGCTCATTCCACTATCCCTCGGAGTATACACACAACCGAAGAAAGAGAGAAAAAAGAACTGTATATGAAGCGACGACACAAGAGTGTGATTTGAACATGCGAAACGTGGTCACGCAAATCAGTTCTTTTTTTCTTTATGATTTTCTCTATCGTTTTGAAAACTAATTTGACCAATTTTCATTTTATGATTCCATTGGAATTCCGTTCATATGAAAAGGACCCAATTGGTATGAGAGAAAACACAAATACAAAACGAGGTTTATCAAGAGCAAGTCTTTTTAAGCAATTTCTTTTTCTTACACTTTCTATTCTGTTTGTATTAAACGATGAATAATACGAAACTTGTAATTATTACCCTTCGATTGTGATATATTTGAAAATTTGTATATTTAATATGGATGAATTTTACGATTATATTAAACCAAACAAAATAGATTAATACAGAGCTAACATAAACAAAGAGGTCAAAATACAAGAAGCAAAAGCGAGAAAAAAAACCTTAACTACACACCATTACAAAATGCTCACAACAACAACAACAAAAAACAACTCATTTTGAGAATGAACTGATAGGAAATGCTAAGAGACAAAAATATCGCAACAAGGATTATTTGGATTGCGTTCGAATTTTCTGTTTTTAGTTTGCGTCACACACACGAAACTTTCACTTTTATTTATTTTTTGGTTGGTTAAACACACGCCTATACAGTGTATGGGCCATTGGGCCATGCACTCGTGACATAAATTGTTATGATAGCAATGCCATTCGTATCTATTCAGATCTCACGAAGGAATAATAAAAAAACGATGAATAACGACAGACACACATGTAAGAGATTGATGACGATGTTGATGATGACTGAGCTACAAGTTTTATCCAAGAGTATAACAAGTCGCCGATTATTATTATTATGATATTCAACATAATTTGCTTCCTTCACTATATATTTAATTTTAAGTGTGTTCTTTTTTCTGGAGTTCGAGTTTGAAACTTTTTTAAGACAAAAAACAGCAACTCACCTTAGATTGAGGTCAATTTAGTTTGTAGTGATTTACTGACTTTTGTTACAGTAATTTAATTTACAATTACAGTCTAAAAGCACCTCCTGAAGAGAAACAAATCTCTCTCTTTCTCTTTTTGAAGAGAAACAAATAAAAATCCCCGAAAATAAAGTAACGATTTAAGTGAGTTTTGCGTTCTTTTAGTTCTTATTCTTACAGTTTTTTTTTTGTTTCGGTAGAGAAAAAAAAACAATTTTGCATTCATAATAAACAAGAAAAAAAAATTCAATTATTTATTTGGTGATTTTTAGTTTTTGTTAATTTCCTAATCGAGTATTTTTACGCCATTTACCATTTGAAATCATCTGGACTTTTTGTCGATGGCAAAATCGAGATATTTTCCGGAACGGTCTTTTACAATTTTAACAAAAAACAAAATGAACATTTTTCTAAGCTCTTTTTTAAAATATCAACTGAGAACAAAATGAAGAAAAACAGAACAACCCAATTTCAAAGGCACACTTTTTTACAAACACGCAAGAAATGTGCGAATCACAATGTATCACCAAAAGACTTCTACAGTTTTTTCTAACTCGCTCGCAATTACTTTGGTTGGATCGTAATTTTTTTTTTTTTTAAATCAGAGGCTATTTTGGGTTATTTCGTCGAACATGAAAAAAATGAAGAAAATTTCTTTCGTTTTGGTGATAATATATGATGATGCAAAACTATTTCAATAACAAAAACATGGAAATAAACACATAAACGTCTTTGGATGTCAGCTACTTATTCGTGGAAGAAAACGAACATCTCGGATTGTTTTTACCGCTCTCGTATGTTAAGATGTCAAGAATCACATAAATAACCTAACCCTAGTTTATGTTCAACTATTTAGCAAAAAAAACGAACAACTGCATACAATTTGTGCATTTGGCAGATATGTGTTTCGTAATATGTACACTTATATTTCAAATACACACACACATAATCCAATATAGGACTCTTCTTCACTGAACAAAACAAATATAACAGTTTGAACAACAAAAACAAAACCAACTTAAACACAAACAACAGCAAATTCTCAATACAATAAATGTTTACTATCGTATTTGATGTGCAAAGCAAACCATGCAGTTTTATTTATCTTTGTGTTCTGAATATGTGAAAAAAATCGATATTTGTTCTGAAAATGACTAACATTTTACTTGGTTGGAATATGAGAACACAGTGGTGGATTTTACGGACTTCTATTTATTCAAAAATATAATTTTGAATACAGCATATCCCTGGATTTGAATTTTTTGTACAATTTGAACTATATATAGGCAATCCATGCTATACGATACAGATTAAGACTATAGCCATAGATTCGGACCAAATCCTTTGGATATAGTTATGTCAAAAGCTTCAATTTCCATGCGATAAACAGGTAACGTTAGGAGAGACTCGAGTGTTCTGCTGAAATACGGACTTGCATTCAAAGCAACAACTTGGTATATCTGGAATGAAATGGATTGATTTTGAGTTAGAACATGTTATATTTTCTATTTGTTGTGAAATGCTTGAAGTTCCAACGAATCAGTTGAAATTTTAAGATAATTAATCATTGGGTTTCATTTGTCCCTATCTGTAAATATCATCATTGAATTGAAAAGAGAAAAAAAAACAAATATAAAATCATGGTAAACCTACCTGTAAGAGAGTATGATAGAGAAGGTGAACTGGACACAATTTTGCTGAAAGTCACATACTGTCAGTTCGAGTGTCTGCAAATGAAAAATTGAAAACTCATTGAAAAGTTGTATTTTTTGGCATTTTCCACGCATTTTTTCACATGAAAAATGTGATCAGTTTGAATTTTAAGATAATTAATCATTGGATTTCATTTGTCCCTATCTGTAAATATCATCATTGAATTGAAAAGAGAAGAAAAAAAATAAAGAATTGCAGCAAACCTACCTATGAGAAAAGAGAAGTACTTCAATTCCAGCTGGAATGGACCAACATTTGGAATTAGTCATTAATATTTCTGTTCAAAGTCACATCAGGGACGAATCAAATAGTCTGTAAATGAAAAATTGAAATTTTATTAGAATTTGAATTTTTAAGTATTTTGTGTGAATATTTTCCTTGAAAAATTTTCGTTTAAAAAAATGTGATCAGTTATAATTTTAAGATAATTAATCATTGGGTTTCATTTGTCCCTATCTGTATTTATCATCATGGAATTGAATATTTTAGCTCAAAATTCTGAATTTTAAATGTCATATAATGAAACTCACCTCATGGAAATTGATGGGACTTCTGTGTGGCGGACAAAATCTTGTGAGCCTCCTCAATATGCTGGAATGGAATGTTTCAATCCGAGATGCATTTTCAGATCATGAATTTTTGAGCTGAGTCACTCGATTACATAATGATTAAGCCACCGCATTTTTACAACCGAATCACAGTATTTTTTTTTTCGTTTGGTTTTATGAAGAAAAAGTTTGGTTTATGTCATTTATCAATATTCTTATTTTTTTATTGTTTCATCTTTAGTTCAAAATTACCGTTCTTCCTGCACATTTTCTTTCAATCATTTTTTTCTTTTTATTTCAAGACTTTTTTTTTTGTTCTAGAACGAATTACTTTGACAATTTAATGTTGTAGGTTGGTATTCATATGAAAAGTGCGAAAAAAAACTAAACATTTCACTCTTGTTTGCTTCATATTATGTTTTGTTATTTGTTTTTTCTTGTTTGGGATTCATTCAATTCTACTGTTTAATTTGTTATGCAAAATTATGGAATTTGATAGACTAAATTTAAAATCAGATTACTGTGATAAGTTAGAACGTAAAAAAAAATGCTGCAACTAAGCACCTGCAAAATGAAATGAGAGAAACGAAATGGAGTGATGAGAAAATTGTGTTCAGACAATTCGGCATGAGGAGAAATTGTGTTTGGATCAATTGGTATCGAGATGAGAAGGGAAAAAAACATAACGAGTTCAACACTTACGTTAGTTTATCTAAATGTAATCCTCATGTAGTGTAAAGTACATGTTGTATTAATTGTCTGGATGAAAAGGTCCTATTTATGGGATTTTCTTTCTTTTTCTTTCGTGATTTTGTATGTGTTTTTGTGTATGTCTCTTAAAATAGATCTTCTTATACGTTCTCCTTAATCTTAACCAATTCAGTTTTATGATTTATCGTCCTTCGACTGAAAATTGAAGGGAAACAAATGACAAAGCGATTAAAATCAATCCAAAAAGTTAAGGTTCTTCTTCTGAGCGTTGTTGCTTTTGACACTTACTGTACGATGAGAGATCGATTTCATCGGGCAATTCCGTAATGTTGACATCGAAACGGTCTTGAACTTCATTTAGAATCTTGGCGTCACCCCTGATCAAACAAAGAAATTCACATGTTCAAGTTCAAAGTACATTATCCATGCCAAGCAGAGTTTAATGCTTGAGATTTCTTAAAAATTGCATTAAACGGTTTGAATTAGAGACACTTACTCATCCGAAACAAATGTGATGGCTAATCCTTTGGTACCGAAACGTCCAGCACGAGCGACGCGATGCAAATAGGTGTCAGAGTCTTCAGGCATATCGTAGTTGAATACGATGTTGACACGCTCGATATCCATACCACGGCCAAACAAGTTGGTTGCGACCAAAATACGCTGCAAAGAGTGAAAAAGATACGTTTTGATTATGGTCCAGAATTGTTACTCATAAAAGATGAACCTTTCGATTGGCACCAAAAAAATCAAATGAATAGAAACAAATTCTTGACTTGCTCGACGATATTTACCTTTTGGAAATCTTTGAACTGTTGATAACGTGACAACCTTTCTTCTTGTCCCATACCACGATGAATGCCGATGGCCGGGAAGTTTTGTTCGGTCAAGAGCTGAGCCAAAGCCATACAACGTTGAACCGACTTGACGAAAATGACGACCTGATTGAACTCTAACACGTCCAACAATTCAAAAAGTTTTTTGTTCTTCTCGTTCTCCTTTAATTTGACGTAGTGCTGTTGCAAACCGTGCAAAGTCAATTTGGTTTCATCGTCCACGTAAACTTCCATGGGCTAAATATTCACAAAGAAAATGGAGAAAAAAGGGGGAGAAAGAAAAGAGGGAAATGGTCAATGTCTAAAATACTTTGAAACCAGAAGTCATTGAGATGGATGAGCGACGGTGATAAAATCCATGAGTGTTGATCTGCGGTGACGAGAAAACGTTTGGTTTCGGTGGTTGGTTTTTTTTTAGGTTATGCGCATTCGTTTGTTTGTTTTTCTTTTTTTTTAGTTTACCCATTTTTTGGTTACAACAACTGGTTGGCCGGTTAGAACACATGGACTTCAAGACAAAATCGACTCTCATTTTTTTTTTTTTCAGTTCCATGTTCATGTTTTGTTCTGATTCGCTTTCGGTTTCAAAGAACTTGATTTTTTTTAAAGAAACTGATATTTAAATGTAAAAAAAGAACAAACAATTGGATCGTTAAAGTTGAAATACCATAATAATCGGATTCAGTATTGAGAAGAGTTCGGTTGTCCATTCACGACACACGTTGGTGCAATCGAAATGATGACATGCGACTATTTTGTTATTTAGCATAAATCCCCATAATCGAAATGTGCTCTTCGTGAGTGAAAAATTCGGATGATAATCATTCGTGATGAGTGTACGAGTGTTCTCAGCTTCTCGGTCGCTCTCTCACATATATTCGGAATATCGGTAAAAGGGTTTATTGTTGTGCTGAAGTGTCACACCGGATGTCTCGGGATGTTCAATGTGCGCGCTGATCACTGCAAACATAGCGGCGAACAGTGCGTGCAACGACGATTCCGTACGACGGTTTTGATCGATTTTGTTTTTTTGTTTGTTTTTAGGTTTGTGTCTTGTGTCTTTTAAATCGCGATTAAATTTGTGAGGCGGTAAATGAGGCGCGTGTTGCAGGAGATTGTGTTTGTTTGTTTTTTTCTTGTTTGATGGATAAGAGATTTGTTTTACGAATTACGCGATTATGCTTTGATTTCTGTGTTAGATTTCGTTATAAGTATTTGTTCGTGATTTTGTGCGCGTTTGAATATTCTTCCAACCGAACCCCCATGTTTATATGTTTGCTACATTTCGGCCATACAACAACACCAAATCGGATTCTCTGAGTGAGTAGACAGGCTGCTATCACACATCACATCACACACACACACGCAGTATCTTTTCAATCGCAGATCCCGTAACGCGAGCGAGAGCAGCGCGTGCGCGTTATGTTCGCCGCGTCAGATAGAGATAGACAGAATAACCGTTCGCGTCATTTTAACTATTATGTGTGTTACGTTTAATGAACATCAATTACATCTTGCATGAATTTCTTGCAGACGGGACGAATTTCTTTGCTTAGCGTAGCCGAAAACATCATAACTTGCTTGCCGTGCGGAGTATTGCGGAAAATTTCTTGTACGTCACGACGCATATCTATTATGAAGAAGAGAAAAAATACGAAAAAATGCGTTAATATTTGTAATAACATCGAAATGGCCCAAAAGTGGGTGAGTTAAGTGATTAAATCGAAAAAAATCAGTAAAATGTTTAAAGATAATGAATCATTAAGTAATTCATATGTCCCTATCTATGGTTTATCATCATTATGATTGTCAATATCATGAGAAACAGACGATTTGTTGTCAAACTTACCCAATTGTTCCAACATTTTGTCACATTCATCCAAAATGAAGTGTTTCAAGTGCTTGAAGTTGAGTTTCTTGTTACGGATGAGAGCCAAAATACGGCCGGGTGTTCCAACAACGATGTGCGGCGTCATTGTCTTCAGTGTCTCTTCATCTTTTTGGATGGGCAATCCACCGAAAAATACGCCAACTTTCAATGCTGGCATATATTTGGAGAAACGTTCGTACTCTTTGCTGATTTGGAAAGCCAACTCACGCGTATGGCACATGACCAACACATAGGTATGATTTTCCGTTGGTTCCAATTGTTGCAGTGTTGCCAAAACAAACACAGCCGTTTTGCCCATACCTAACAACAACAACAACCAAATTACAACAATTTTCAGTTTAAACAAACAACAATGGTTGACAAAAACAAATGGCTGCCATTTAAATCAACGCTTACCTGACTTGGCTTGGCATAAAATGTCCATTCCAAGAACGGCTTGTGGAATACATTCGTGTTGAACTAAACAAATGGAATGGAGAGAGAGAGGTAAATACACAAACACATTAAAAATGGGCGAATACATTCAGAATACGGTACATTTAGAAAAAGAATCTCTTTCCTAATCGATTTTTCTTTATCAACGTTCGGAATTTCACAATAACAAGCAACATTCACAATCTCCATAACGTTAGCTATTCATAGAAAACACGCATAAACATGTTTCATAGTTCAAAATAGTTCTGAGTCACTCTTGCTATCTCTTTCACACATACGCGCGCATTATGCTAATTGATTACGCTGGCTGGCTTACCTTCTGAGGGATGTTCAAAACCGCAGTCAGCGATGGCTCTCAGAATTTCAGGCTTCAGAAGAAAATCACGAAAACCAGAACTGTGAATTGATACATAAGTACCTTTCACATCTTTTTTCGGAGCCTCAGTTGTCTCCGCCACAACTGTCTCGGTCTGCTCTTCATCTTCATAATCCAAAAGATCATCGTTGTCGGCCATCTTTAATGTTTGTTTTAGTTTTTCTTTTTCGCTTCACCTTTTTTTTATCAATGAAAAAATACAGATTTTTTGCAATTAATATTCCGTTGAAATTGACTTCAAAGCAATGTTTGGGATAGAAACTGGAGAAAATCGATTGATTTTTGTTAAAGTTTTAAAGCATTTTCGGAATATTTTTTCTTCACAAATGCCAACAAGATACGCTACGCTTTGATGATGCCGGCCCTATAAATTGCCGGTCGTTTCTAAGAAAAAACTAATAAATTGACACAAAAAATAACAACTATTCCGAAAACAATCGATTATTCCGATTTTTTTGCCACATTTATTAGATTCCGATGGCTTGGATAATTTGAAATATTTTTAAATGAATTTTTCGGACACAACACTTACTTATACGCTTTAACTCGACGAACGACTTCTTCAATATGGCTGAACGTATTTTTTTTTCTTCTATCGCTTGGTTACACAGTTGACGTCTACACAGAGAGAGTGCGAGCGCCAAAAAAAAAAAACGTTTGTTTGCTTCACACTAATTAGCTGTGTGTTTGTGTGACAGCTCGAATGTGAACGACACCATTGTGAATGTGAACCAACCCTAATGAACCGATCAATGTTTTTGTAAAATGTATTTCACAACGAGATTAAATTTGAAAGAAAGAAATTTAATTTTGGATTCGATTGGATATTTTTAATGCAGAAATATTTTTTTCTCTTCCTTTGAAGCGAGGAAAATTAATTTCAATAAAATTTTCAAGGGAACGAACTCTAAAGTTCTGTTGAAATGTATCAACCGATAGCAGAATAAGTAACAGTCAAGGTTCAGTACAATCAACCGAAGCAAAAATTGACTTCAGAAAAAATATAATGTTACACATCCGAAAAATGCCAACAATAATTGCATTAAATTTACATTTTTGAGTCATACTCCCAAAAATAGTGTGATTACTTCATTTTTTTTCTCGCATGAAAACACTTAAAATAATTGTTATCAATGTTTAACGGAAACGGTATAAGCTGTTACGCTCCCATTAAATTGATTGATAAGCATTCATGGCATTCATTATAGAAAAATGTTTGTGATTTCGTTACATTTTCAATTGGACCAATTCAAATTGTCGAAAAACTTTGGGGATCTCATGCATTGATTGCCACGAGGAAAAAAAGTGAGAAAAAAATCTACCACATTTTAATAATACAAAGCCAAAATATTGAATCTCTTTACGTATACTTTGACAGTTTGGTAGGCAGTTTCGATGTTGAAATCTTTCATCACAAGCCAATGAGCGAGTGTATGACGTGAGGTTAAACGACAGTGTTGGCTCTACAACACAGAGTCGATTGTCTTCGCTGTCGTCGTCGTTGTCGCTGTCGTTGTATTCGTGTGTACTTGTTCCAATCGAATCACGACGATACCACACTGTGTGTGTGTGGTGTTTGTTGTCGTCGTCGTCGTGTGCGTGCGTATGAGTGTTCGTTGACTGAAGTAGCAAGTTTGAAGCCATATTGAAATGACGACAGTCAAATGATTTGCTTTTCGCGTACAATAATAATAAGTTGATTTTCATCGTACATATATCGTGGGAACCACCGAAAACAAACACAAGAAAAAAAACGAATCAATTCAATTTTTTGTTGATGTTAACTTTCAGTTTGTTTCTGTGTTGCTGATTTTGTGTTCGTGATTGATATATCTAAGGAAGATACGAACGAAAAAATTCCAAGTGTCTAATCGAAAGTTTCAATTTATCCGTACGAACAAAAGGCAATTTTTTCTTCATTCTCGCAGTGCACAATAAAGCGATAACAAGCAAAGACATGTCAAACAAAAACCAAATACCATAGACAGAAAGTGGGGAGAAACGCATAGAAAAAAATAAAAAAACAAATTCGGTCTTATATATCGTTGAAGTGAAGAAAAGAAGAAATTATTTACAGAATTGCATCGTCCGTTTATATTTTTTTCGAAAAATAAATCCGATTTTTTGGTTGAAAATAAGAAAAGAAAAGTATTTTGGTATAGAAAGTAAAGGAAAACAATTTCACAAACATGAAAACTGCAATTAAATGTAAGTGAAACTTTTTCGTATTGAAAAAATAAACAACACAAACGAAGCCAGTTTGACGTGATATATCTGTTCGAATTCTAAGTCAATTATTTCATTTTACGTGCATGTTTTACCAATCAATTCCAAAGTGAACGAAAAAATATGACGCATTTCAAGCAGATACTCTATGCCACACGACTCATTTTCATTTGAAATGTCAGTGTTTTTTTTTGCATTGTTGTTGATAATATGAAAAAAATATATTGTGTGTTTCAATTCAATTGAAATTGGTTGAGAGACCTATTTTGCGCTTGGCTCGAAAAAAAGGCATGAGAAAAATAAACGTACCTCTGTACTGGGGAGGCGTTGTGTGTTTTCAAGCAATATATCGTGCACCAAATTACTCATTAGTTGACTGAAAGGGATTAAAAGTCCAATTGGCAACAGCTTGTACAATTTATTGACTTGTGTGTTTTTCCAAATAAAATCAAGTTGAAGTTTGTGTTGTTGCTGTTGTTTCGGTGCTCTAGATCTTGATTATTTATTAAATGGGCTCATAAATATCGTATGAAAGCTAACAGCCCTTTCTGCTGTCTAGCATTGATTTCGATGGGAAAGTTTAAACCAATACCAATATGAAATTGAATTTCTCGGACCGTGGATAATAATGCATAACCATAGTTTATTTTCTCTCTCTTCGTGTTCTTTATTCTGAACCAAAAAAAAAAACAAAACGAACAAAAGTGACACATACGGTTAGAATGCCTTCGGTTTCGTTCTTTTTTTTCGAACGCATATACGCTTAATGCGGTCGTAGTCCTTAAATAGATAGTTTTGATGAAAGTCAAGTGTACGTAGTTTTCGAGGTCAAATATTTGAGTCGAGAAAAATTCTTAGTCGGAAAAGTGTGCATTCGCTTTGAATAAAACCATTTTTCTTCTTTCGATACCAAAGTTATTTCTCTGTCGATATTTTGACGCCGTATAAAACATTTCACATTCGTGGCCATTTATTACATCGATCACATAGGAAATTCCAAATACTTTTTGCCAATAAACAAAAGAACGACTCCACATTCTTTTTCAACAAATAGAGGTTCAAGTAAATAAAACAATCGCTTTTCGCGTCGTTTCAGAAATGGGAAAAAATTGTTATTGGCAATAGAAGAAGAAGAAGAAAAGTATTTCAACAGCAGATTAACAGAGACAGTAAAAAGAGAAACACAGCCACACGTAAGTATTGGGTTTCATGTCACAGTGAATGTTTTTAATAAGCTCAAATATGCCTAATGATTCAATTCATTGATTGGAACAATGAACGAAAACAAAAAAAAAATGAAACATGTGCGGCATGGGCTTCAAATTTCAAAGCAGAATTGAAACCGAACAAAACGAGTAAATTGATTGGAATTGTTTCCTCATTGGCAGCGACGGGCGAAGTAACGGTGAAAAAACGGGCGACGCAGACAACAACTGTGCAAACTACCAATGATATCGAAAACGAATGTAGTGGAAGCGACAACAGCAACAACACAAACAACGATATCATACATTCGAAGCAGTAGCTGAAGCATTTTGGCTGACCAAGCACAACCAACCGCTCCATAAATCTATGTGAACATGGCCGAAAATGTAAATAGAAACAGTCAAGGATATCATCAGCTAAACATTACAAGTGAGTTTGTGTGGTGCTTAACGTTATTTTTCTTCTTCTTTATTGTGTGAGAATCCAATCCATTGTTTGTTTGTTTTTTGTCTCTTCCTGTTTCAGTTGAACAAGCATCGTTGCGGAATAACGGAATATTTAAGCCAAATCCATACGTTGAGATATCGATCGATAACAATAGTCCGAGAAAAACGGACATCATCAAACACACATATTTACCAACATGGAATGAAAGTTTTACGGTTTGCGTAACGCCATCGTCCGAAATTACATTTCGTGTACTGGACCGATCGAGCTTTTTAAAGGATGCACTGTTGGGCGAACGTATTGTGCCGTTGGCACAGATTTTAGAGCATTATCATGGTCGTTGTGATAATTTAGAATTAGTTATGGATCTATTGGGATCGTTAAAACCAGAAGGCCGAACAAAGAGCGGCGAACTTGTTGTGGTATTGAATGGATTGAAAATTGAAAATATGCCAACGACGGCAGCCGTTCATCATGCGAACGGTGTTAGCAATGGTTTGAGTATTACTTCCAGTGCGACCAACAGTAGCAGCAACAATACTAGTAATGGAAGTGCAATCAATTGTTCTGCGGATCCAAATGCATGTATGAATGGTCGCAGCAGTATTTTGTGTGGTGGCATACGGGCTCGGATGCGTTTGCGAACGAATAATCAAAATTTGTCCACTGCATCGAATGGTCATTCGATTGCCGGGCCATCGCTCAGTGCTGATGGATCGTATATGTTGGGAGCGAGAAGCACAAATGATTTACGGAATACGCGATTAACGCCAAACGATCCAAATAATCGACGCCACAATGAATTTCCCGATGGCCAACAGCACAGCCGCAGTGTGGGAAATCTTGGGATTACAAACATCTCATGTGGACCAAGTACGAGTCGAAGCGGTGGCTTGAGCTGGGATCCATCGCAAGCATTGGTGCCATGCAACGGCGCATCGCCGAATCAACGGAACTTTATGGTGAATATCGCAATGCATGATTCTAAAACCATTTTTAAACACTTTTGGCTTATGAACAAATATTTGCTTTCGTTTCAGCATCCAAATGTACCACAAAATCCACCGACTTCGTCCGAAGAATCGATGCCGCCACCAAATCAGTCTAATCAGCCAGTCAGTCCTGGCCAACCAAATGGTGGCACACCAGCACCCATTTCAAATGCCGGAGATCAACAGTTGCAAACTCAAACGTCCACCGATGATGAACCACTCCCCAGTGGATGGGAAGTTCGATTCGATCAGTTTGGAAGACGTTATTATGTGGACCATAACACACGTAGCACGTGAGTATTTGTCATTTGCTCTTTATTCGAACCGAAAATCATCATAAACTGATCGGATCGTCTCTGATCAATCATTCAGATACTGGGAAAAACCATCACCGCTGCCACCGGGATGGGAAGTCCGACGAGATCAACGCGGTCGCGTTTATTACGTAGGTGAGTGTCAACGCGAAAAAGATTCAACCAGCTCAACTTCAATATTTTCCATTAAATTGTTGTTTTTTCTAATGTTGAATTGCACCTGTTCCAGACCACAACACACGTACAACATCATGGCAACGACCAAACAGTGAACGTTTAATGCACTTTGCAACTTGGCAAAACCAGCGATCGCATGTGGTATCACAAGGCAACCAACGGTTCTTGTACCAAACATCACAGCCCGCTGCTGGTGGTACTGGTGCTACAGCAACAGATGACGATGATGGCTTGGGTCCATTGCCAGATGGTGAGTAACGATTTAAACATTTTATTCTTTCTGTTTTGTTGTCATTTTAATGCTCTTGATCGACATTTCAAGAGTGTGTTACTCAATGCCTTGCTTCGATCAATCTTGAGCCGTGGCTTGGAAAATGTTAATTGTTCAAATTAATACAAAAATCTTTTGCTTCCGATTAGGCTGGGAACGAAGAGTTCAACCAGACAACCGAGTGTATTTCGTCAATCACAAAAATCGCACCACACAATGGGAAGATCCACGCACCCAGGGCCAGGTAAGTGTTGCAAAAATGCATTCATTTTTCAATGGGAATTCGTTATTAAATTTTGATTTCACAACAATTATGAAAATGACCATTTCATGTCCGTTTTTGCCACTGCAGGAGGTGAGTTTAATAACTGAAGGACCATTGCCAACCGGATTTGAAATCCGATACACGGCAACAGGTGAACGGTTCTTTGTGGATCATAATACACGGACGACAACAGTAAATAAATGCCTTACTCAATCTCATTTCATGAAGACCAACATACTTATGAATCGTTTTGTATTGTTTTAGTTCGAAGATCCACGGCCTGGAGCGCAAAAGGGTGTTAAAGGTGTTTATGGTGTGCCACGAGCGTACGAACGATCATTCCGATGGAAACTTAGTCAATTCCGTTATTTGTGTCAAAGCAACGCATTACCGTCTCACATAAAAATCACGGTGACACGTCAAACGCTGTTCGAAGACTCATATCATCAGATAATGCGATTGCCAGCGTATGAGTTGCGACGACGACTATACATAATATTCGTGAGTTTATACCACTTTAACGGCTTATTTATCAAAACAGCAGTTGTTGTTCAAACTAGCGGTTTTCCATATTTACAAATAATTTGCAGCGTGGCGAAGAGGGTCTTGATTACGGCGGTGTGTCACGTGAATGGTTCTTCTTGTTGTCTCACGAAGTGCTGAATCCAATGTATTGTCTCTTTGAATATGCCAATAAAAATAATTACAGTTTACAAATAAATGCGGCGAGCTATGTGAATCCCGATCATCTGCAGTATTTCAAGTTCATTGGACGATTCATAGCGATTGCATTGTTCCATTCCAAGTTCATTTATTCGGGCTTTACGATGCCATTTTACAAACGTATGCTCAATAAGAAACTCATAACCAAGGACATTGAAACAATCGATCCGGAATTTTATAATTCGCTGATTTGGGTGCGTGACAATAATATCGATGAGTGTGGTCTTGAACTATGGTTTAGCGTTGATTTCGAAGTTCTTGGCCAAATATTGCATCATGAGCTGAAAGAAGGTGGCGACGCGCTGCGCGTTACCGAAGAAAATAAAGAGGAGTACATTGGCTTGATGACTGAATGGCGAATGACAAGGTTGGTTCGACATTTTTATTTCAATTTCAATTGGAATGATTTTAATTGTTCTTATTTTATATTTTAACAGAGGCATCGAACAACAGACAAGAACATTCTTGGAAGGTTTCAACGAAGTAGTACCGCTAGAATGGCTGAAATACTTCGACGAACGTGAATTGGAATTGATGCTGTGCGGAATGCAAGAAATTGATATCGAAGACTGGCAACGAAACACAATCTATCGCCATTACAATCGCAACAGCAAACAAGTCGCATGGTTTTGGCAGGTCAGTTTTATTTTAACCAAGAATATATGACTCAATGCGATGGGAGCTATGCCGAAGACTAACACATTTCTTCTTTTTCGCATACAGTTTGTTCGAGAATCAGACAACGAAAAGAGAACACGGCTATTGCAATTCGTTACCGGAACATGTCGTGTACCTGTTGGTGGTTTTGCTGTAAGTGGAGTTTTTTGATGACCTCTCTTGAAATTCATTCCAATTTTTCCCTGAAGATTTCTTGGAAAATTTCAATTTTTCTTTGAAAACTTCAAATTTTCTATATGGAAGTTTTGATTTTCTTCCTGAAAATTTCAAGATTTCTTGGATTGTTTCTTTTTTTTCCTTCAAAAATTTCAATGTCCAATGTTTTCACCACAGGAATTGATGGGTTCAAATGGTCCGCAACGTTTTTGCATCGAAAAAGTGGGCAAAGATACGTGGTTACCGCGATCACACACCTGTTTCAATCGCCTCGATTTGCCGCCATACAAAAGCTACGATCAATTGGTCGAGAAACTAAACTATGCCATCGAAGAAACCGAAGGATTTGGCCAAGAGTGAACAACGCATGCAATCCGCGTATAAAGATATCAAAAATTAAGTGACGTAAATATTGGAATTTGTTTGAACAAAATAGGAAGAAAGAGAATATGTGTATTGAATGCAAATTCTAGCGAATTTGTGCGTTTCTATATGGTTTGTTTTAGTGAAAATGTATATAAACAAAAGAAATTTAGTGCAAGCTGTATAAATATTAGCATCCCGAACGGAACAAAAAAAAAAACAAAAATAACGTGTGAAGAACAGTGAATATTTTTTTTAAAAGAGAAGAATCTATACATATTGCTTAGAAGCGGCTATTGGCCGTAATATACATAGTATCGACTGGAACGATTTATTCGATGGGACATGAAAAATCAAGTGTGTGGATGCAATAAATTGCGTAAAAAAAGACAAATTCGACAATTTGTATTTTCCATTGTATAAACAACAAATACTTCTTGGTTATTACCAGTAAAATCGTTCGTTTCGCAAAGACAATGTGTATATTTCGGTCAATTTCTGATAGGAAATTCTTGTAAGAAATAATCTTGACTTTCACCACCATATGAAACAAAATGAAAATATGTGATGAACAAACTAGCAACAAAAAATTATGAGAAAATAAAGAAAAAAACCCACAAATCAGTATAACTCAAAAGCAAAAACAACTGGATGGTTCAATTATTTTTTCGGCTATGGAGAAATAGTTGCAATTTAATTGCTTACAATTTTTAATTTATTGGAATTTCTGCCATCAAAATCATTTCTATTGTTTTGCCTACGATGTTTTCACGATGTAAATACGATGATAATGATGAACGACGAGGGAAAATCTATTGCTGGCTTTCGAGCGGCCAAATAAAAAAAAACTAAAGTGATATTTAAACCTATAGCAAAAAGAAGAAAAAAAAAACAAATTAGACGAAATGAAAGTGATTGCAATGCAAACATTCGATGGATGTACAATGTTTTTTTTTAGCCAAAAAATGAAATGAAATATATAGAAAATGACCATCACTTATTTTTCAAGAAAGAAAATGCTTGCCATCAGGCAGCCCTAGATATGGATGTTGTGTTCTAACGGAAAAGACATTCGGTTTTAAATGGAATAAATTAACACCTGCAACAAAGACACATTTTATATATCGAAAAAAGACAGAGGTTATTGAGTCTCATCACTCCAACGAAAAAAATACAAAGTAGCCTAGATCGGTTTTCGATGAATTTTTTCGTTGCGGTATCGTCATTCAAACAACTTCATATCAATCGTAGCAAGACGAAGATGAAAGCAAAACAGATGTATATTTCGTATGTACTTCAATGTGCATACTGTGTAGGTACTTATTTAATCATTGATCATTGTTGATAAAAAAGACTCAAGAGAATAAACAGTTTTAACTATGGAACGAGCAAATGTGTATATTGTTTTCCTTTCTATTTGGTGTTCATGTTCAGTCAACCTTATTGATTTTTGAAGCTTGATTGACGTGGACAAACTTTTTCTATTTCATTTGTTGTTGACAATATTTATATTTTTCCTTCAAGCAATTCACATTTATTCTAGTGAAATAATGAATTTTATTCAAGTTTGACATTGGCTTCTGTTCCATTTCTATGCTATTCTTTACGTCGTTAGACGCACACATGAACGCGACAAATTGAACGCATCAACAATGTTACGTAATTAAAGAAACATTTTTTACTTATAAAATTGATGTTTATCACGTGCTACGCTCTCACAAAAATCAATTTTGCACATTCGTGACATTTTTATTTTTTTGTCTACTTTATTAACAAATTAAAAAAAGATTCAATAATACATTGAACGATCTGTGTCACAACTTTTGACACTTGTCTCGTAGCGCTAGAAGTGAGCTGTCAGACGCTTAGATGCAGGACCTTCGTCCTTGGTCCACTTTTTGGCAATTTCACTCCGGGCTGTGCAACGGTCATGATCATTAATGCAGCAGAAGAGGTGTATAAACAGGTAGATTCGATATCTTCTTGAGTTTTGACATTTCAGAATTATTTTCTTCTTGTAATTAAACGATTTTCCAGGCATTTTTAGTGAGGACGACTTCAGAAGGACACTTCGTTACTGCTGAACTAAATTCGGAATTTCATAAACTTTTTTGACTCAAATGCAATACAATCCCATCGTAATAACCACAAAAGGATTCGTTATTGTTAACCGCCAATGCTTTCATTCAACATGATATCAGTTTGTTTCACGTATACATTCATTTACATCCAATTTTACATCAGTAGGACACCGAGTTCAAACATAAAAACCAAGTGGACATTGTTGCCATGATATGTATGGTGGCAACTCTATAACAAATACCTACTGTACAACTCGATACTATTGGGTGAAATTAAATATTCATAAGGGGTAATTTATTACACGCGAATTAATGAAAAACAATAAATTTATATCATTAAAATGATAAGAACTGGCTATGCCATTTTGAGTAAGGTCAATTTACGGAAGAACAACAGCTCAATCGAAAATTGAAAGTATTCATAATCACCCGAAATCATATAGTGGTTTGAATTTTTCATTCAAAATCTTTGATTCTAAAACGAGGACCTAGTAAAAAATCAATTGCGAATTTCAACAGAGAACTGAAAGTAGGTAAAATCAAACCCGAAAGAAATCCACTGTGTTGAAGTGGAACATTTAAAAGTTCACAGTTCGAAATATCAGCAAATTTTTTTTTAATGATTTTGATTAGGGATTATCATCTTTCATTTATCTGAGTTTTTCGCAGAAAAAATTCCTTATCAATTAATTAAGGATGACAGCGTCCGGATATTATCCAGACTTCACCATTGCTTATGGTACTAAACTCCGCGAAATATCAGTTCTGTACGGAAATGCAATTTTTTCGAGCACTCATCGCTTTGTGGCATATCTAAAATTTAACATAGAATATAATTAGCCGCTTGGGAAGCAATCATTCGTCGTTTTCTCGCCAAAATTATAACATCACTTTTTTCAACTGAATTCGGAAAAATATATAAAATAATCGTTGCAGTTTTGAATAAAGAAAATATTACAAAGTGTTTCAATTTTATTTTTAACATTAGTTTGAAGAGATAAAAAATTAACGATCATACATACGAGCTTCCAGTAAACCGGTGAATAAATCTTTTTTTCTAAATACAAAATAAACAAGAGCACAGACTTGCGCTATCACATATTTCTTCTTTGTGATGTTCGCAATAGTGCAGACAGCGAAGGTGAATCATCGCATCGATATAGCAGCGACTGTTATATGTTGCTCTCACTCTTTTGTTAACCGGGGAATCCAAATTTTGGGGAATCACATTTAATACTTTTTTTGGATTTATCGATTGCCGAATATTTTTTTTTACCATTTTGATTCAGAACCGCATTGTAAATTAAATAATCTAATCTAAGATGATTCATGATATTCAGTTGTTCCTTCGTTAAGGATTTCAGTTTGAAATGACTGCACGTGAAACTCATCGAAGTTCCTTGAAATATTTTCGTAAATAAAATCGTTGCAAGTAAAATCCATCGCAAGCATAGAGATTTCTCGACATATGTATTATATACATATGTGATGTATACGTGATATATGCAGAAAAAAAAATTGCATGAGTTCAGCGAAAAAGCATAGAAAGAAATCTTAAAGTCAGTATTTACGATATCAATATCATTGATTACTTCACGGAAACCAGGCAGTGTTTATTTCATCCTCCTAATTTGATTGCTGAGTTGTCTCAAATGATACGCACTGAAACAAATGTATCCCGAGTAACTGTACAAATTTCGAACAAATTCAATCACCTAGTGATCCAATCACGTTTCATAGTTAGAATGCTTGAATGCAAAGCAAAGTATGCTATTTTATGACTTCCCTTTGATTTCTTTAACGCAAAATTTCTTAGTATGGTGAAATTGACATATTGACAACAGCAATTTTCGTTGGAACTGTCTTTTTGTCGTTTGAACGTGTTTATATGAGAGACGATCGCTCTGTAAAGTTTGTTTAAACAGTGTATAAATCCCTCCGCATAAAGATTCTGTTTATTATTTTTTTCTTGAATTGTATATGAGCGAATGATTCACAAGGAGAGCAGTAAGGCAATATATTCATAAATTGGACGGCAATTCAATTGCCGCAATTATGCCAATCCGCTGAACGAAAAAACCGTACCATAATTTGTCGCAACAATACAAAACTAAGAACGTAGACGTGAACGCAAGCGACGCAGACTCAACTGGATGAGAATTCGTCAAAGCGAATCGATGTGTTCAAAGATAAACTTCGAAAGTATTTGAGTTGAATGTGTGATGAAATTCCGCACACAATGGACTTTTGGCTTGGTCATAACATCGGTGATTTTTTCGATTTAGTTCATCAGTTTGATTTGCCCGAGCAAGAGCATCGACAATTCATTGTGCATTATTTTAAATCACATTTCATTTGCAGTTAAAAGGATTACAAGCTGTGATCACTGATCAGAAATAATTTAAAAACTGAAATAAAATCTCCCAATAAATAAAAAGCACGAAACAAGCGATAAATAAATTAAACGCTTTTTCTGCTCAATAAAAAAATCATTCAAATTGGATATAAAAATTTGAAAGTGAAAAAAATATCATAGCAAAAATGGAACCGGGTAATGCAGGCATGGAAAAGCTGATTCCAGCAATGAACAAAATTTTGGACGTGTGCACTCAAGTTGGCGTTGATATGCAATTTGATTTTCCGCAAATTGCTGTGATTGGATGCCAAAGTGCCGGGAAGAGTTCAGTTTTGGAGAATTTTGTCGGACGGTGAGTTTTTCTAAGAAACAATGAAAATAATAATAAAGCAAATAGCAATTTTTTCCGATGTTTGTGAAAAAGTTATTGAAATTTGTTTACAAAATATGTTTTTAAAAAAAAAGAGCAATATTCATTTGGTTCGCGAAATTTCAAGAGCTTACGTTTCTTTTATCATATTTTTTAAACAGAGATTTTTTGCCACGAGGCTCTGACATCGTAACTCGACGCCCGTTGATCTTGCAGTTGATCAGCTCAACAGAAGATAATGAGGGTGAGAAAACAATGACTTTTTACATTCTTTCAACATTCTTTAATTCATAAGTAAGTTTCGATAAAATCAGAGTTTGACTTATCCGCCAGATATATGCTATGGCATAAAAAAAATATGCGCATATTTTTGGTACATTTGGATTTTGTGACTAACTTACCATGTAAATTCATGTGCATTCCACGATTTTTTGTGGATCCCACGATTTTTTGTCCCAAATTCTTGGTATCCATATGAATTTACATGGTAAGTTAGTCACAAAATCCAAATGTACCAAAAAATATGCGCATATTTTTTCTATGCCATAGCATATATCTGGCGGATAAGTCAAACTCTGGATAAAATCGTGAATAATCCATATGTGATGAACATTTTGTTCCAATAGAGTATGGTGTATTTATGCACGACAAGGACAAAAAGTTCACCAATTTCGACGATATTCGTAAAGAAATCGAGTCTGTCACCGAAGAAATTGCCGGAAGCAAAAAGGGCATTTCTCATATTCCAATCAATTTGCACATTCATTCACCAAATGTATTGGACTTAACACTGATCGATTTGCCGGGTATAACCAAAGTTGCAGTTGGTGATCAGCCACCTGATATCGAGCAGCAAGTCAGAGACATGATCTTCAAGTACATCTCGAAAGAGAATTGTTTAATTCTGGCTGTTTCGCCAGCAAACTCCGATTTGGCCAATTCCGATGCCATAAAATTGGCAAAAGAAGTCGATCCACAAGGCGTTCGCACAATTGGTGTGATCACCAAATTGGATCTAATGGATGAAGGCACCAATGCTCGAAAGATCCTGGAAAATGAGCTGTTGCCATTGCGTCGTGGCTACATCGGTGTTGTAAATCGTTCTCAAAAACATATCAACGAAAAGAAAGATATTATGGCAGCGCTGAAGGCTGAACGTAATTTTTTCATGGGCCACAAAGATTATCGCCGTTTTGCTGACCGTATGGGCACACCATATTTGCAACGAGTGTTGAATCAACAGTTAACTGAACATATTCGCGATAAGCTGCCAAGTTTGCAGGATGAATTGAGCAAGCGGATGGTATCGCTCGAGAAAAAAGTGCAAGAATTCAACAACGTGAATTCAGATGATCCCGAGGCCATGAAAACAGTGATGCTTAAGTGAGTGATGAATCATCACTGATGACTTAAACTATCGTATTTTTGGTGAAATTGATAAAAACCAACGAATTTTGTGTTTCATTCCGTTTTCATAGAATCATTCGACAAATGCAATCGGATTTTGAAAAAGCGATTGGCGGGCTTGGCAGTGAAGACATTCGTACCGAAGGGCTGTCTAACGGTGCCATCATCTGCAAATTGTTCCATGAACGGTAATTAATCCAATTCATTCCTGAAGCCATGTGGGTTATATTTTGATTTTTTTTCGGTTTGTGTCAGTTTGCCACGTGACATTTCGCAAATCTCTCTGGACAGCGATCAGATGCGTCGTGAGATTAACTTTGCAGTGAGCAACATTTACGGTTATCGTGGTGTTTTGTTCGAACCATACATGGTGTTCGAAGACATTGTGAAAAAGCAAATTGAACGACTAAAAGAGCCGGTTCTTAAGTGCATCGAATTGGTGGTAGGCGAGTTAACTTCGGCTGTTCGGTTTTGCACTCAGCACGTAAGTGAATTGCCTTATTTCTAACTTGCATAATGAACGCAATTGTCATTCAGTTTTATTTGGATTTTAAAAAAAGATTTACATAGAAATCAAATGATAATCTGCAAACACATCCAACATTTTCATAATGAATTTAATTTGAAATTTCGTTCAATTGTCAAGATTGCAAATTATCCGAATTTACGCGGTGACATTGAAAACAATATCATTTCATTCATCCATAACAACGCGCCAAGATACAAACAAAATATTTTATCGCTGACCGATATGGAGCTCGCCTACATGAATTACAGCCATGACGAATTCATGAAGAACATGTAAGTGGACCCTTTAATATTTTTCGATTGCTTATACATGATCATAGTTCGGATTAATTCTAAATATTTCGCATACCTTTAATCCAATAGAACACCACGAAAAGCTAAGGGTGAAATAAGTGCCAGCAGTTCAGGTGAGTGAAATCGATTTATTTGTTTAGCAAAACAAGAAATGTGTAGCCTTCGATATTATCTATTTTCTTGGTCACTTATCATTTTTGACACAGTTTTCACCGATTCTGCCGTGGATGTAACTGGATGCTCTCGAATCGAGTCAATCCCAGATGAAGCGGCCACACATACCTTAAATGGGGATAACGAAAGTGTGAGTTTTGGATTGTTTTTACATTTCTATCAATGGACTGATTAATGCCATAGTTATGCTTTTCTTTCACTCATTTGACAAAAATTGAATTTTTATATTATTTATTATGGTAGATGCATTCACTAGAGGGTGAAGAATCAAAAGCAAATCATGAAACGAAGGATGCCAAAGATGCAAAAGATGAGAAGGAAATGAAAAACTATAATATAGATCCGTCACTCAATCGAACCGTCGGTGATATTTATGAAAAAATCGATTCTTACATGCGCATTGTCAAAAAAACCACACGTGATATGGTCCCAAAGGCGATCACATTGTACGTCGTAAAAGAATTGCAAGACTACATCAACGATAAGATTTTAATGGATTTTCTTGGTCTTCCAAGCGATGAATATGTTAGTATTTGAGAGGAAAAAAAATCATTGAGTACCTCAAGCATGATAATTGATTTATTCATATTTTTCAGGCTGAAAAATTCGCGTTGAGCCCAGAGGAAGCTCAAAAACACGATAAAAACTCCAAGACGTATGAAGCATGCAAATCAGCACTTGAAATTATTCGTATGTATTTGCCACTATCCCTTTTGATCGAATTATAAATGCTCATGTCATTGTTTGTTAACTCTCTCCAGGTACTGTGTCAAAGGAAACCGCTCATGGTGTCATCGCCAATGGAGAACAAAAATTGGCCCGTTCGTCGACTCCATCGATCGATTAGTGACTTCAGTATCACCGCGCTACTTGGACTTACTACCATTTATCAATTTCAATACACTTTTTTTCCTATCTAAGATTTAGCATGTAATTTCAATAATCCATTTATGTTCAATTTTCTCAGTTAGACACAGCCAAAACATTATACACCTTTGTAAAAAAAGTTTCGTTGTTGCCAAATAGTTTGCCGAATAAAAGTACATGCCATTGAATGATATAATTTTTTTTTGCCATCAGAATCACAACAATAAGCGTCTGCAAATGGAAAGTGTGAAGTTTTATTAGCTTTACAAAAAATATTCATTCAAATTTTATTTTTAATCATTTTGCATTTAAACGTAGGATTCGAATTGAAATGAATTGTAACTCCTTCATTGAAGTTCATATTTCATAATAAAAAGAAAATAAAAACGCATTTTCTGTGCAAGATAGTTGTATACATTAGTGTTTTCAACATCTTTGGCCCGAAGGCTAAAGTAAATTTGTTATTCAGGTAAGTAAAGAATGATTGATCTAGAATGAAAAAAAACGGCTGCTTGCTTATCCACCGAGTAAAAATTCGAATTGCTACTGCTGCTTATCAAAGTAGAACTTGGAAAATTAACATACCAATGCAAAATTGTTCTTACTGTAGTAACAAGGAATGAGTGTGAACAGGTTGAGTACTGGTAAACGATTAATGCTTATTAATGCTTAGATGATAAGGTGTGTGTACAATGTGAGAGCTACGTTATAGTGTACGTGACTATAGTCACATAGCATATATGCTACACTCACAAAAACAACATTTTTTATGCGATTATTTATTCACTATTTCATATTCAACTAATAAAATCATTTTTATTCAAGTTTAATGCACTTGGCGACATGTGTTGGAATTTCAATTCATAAATATTGTGATCTCAAGACCACTTTACTTAAATTTTACAACAAATAATTCGACATCCATTTGTTTCTATTCTGTTTAAATATCAACTTTTGGTGCGAATTCTCATTGAAAATCTCGAATGCTTTAACGGTATTTGCTTGTAGTTGGCTTGAAATTTCTTTTCGTAAGCATATTTAGTTGTCATCACTGAATAAAGATTCGAATATTCATTTGTTTTCAAGTGACAATGGTTCTGAATGTATTTTTGCAGCAACTTTCTTGATGAACCAAAGAAACAAATGCTATTTAGAAGGTTTGTTCTATTGACAAAATTAATTCTGCGCTGTAATCAAGTTCTCAAGATTTTATGATAAAGTTTTAGCTTCAATGCATGTCGAATTGTTCATAATTTCCATACCTCAAATGAACCATTGCGACGAACAAATTCCCTCAGAATATTTTGGTTTTAAAGTGCAACATAAAGTTTTTTTCATATAGAGTTGTTGTTGTAAACTCTATATAAAAAAAATTCATATTGCACTTTGAAACTAAAACATTCTAAGGGAATTTGTTTGTCGCAACGGTTCAAATCTAGGGGAATCACTCACTTTCCAAATGATGTGAATCTTACGAATCTTATGAATCTTTTGTTTACTGAAATCCAATATGGCGACTGACAGTTCTGTCGCCATTTTCAATTTGGATTCACGAGATTCATCAGATTCATCATATTCATGACGATTCGTTCACAGTAATGTGTTGAATCTGAGTGAATCTTTTGAATCTGTGTGTAAACATAAGAATATTGTTTGAATTTGGAAAAAGACTTCAATCATACAAACTGCATTGAATGATAAATTCCCCTAGGTTCAAATATTGGATCTGAATTGATCTAACTAATTGTCCGCTGGATTCATTTCATTTCCAATCATCAAGAAATCTTTCATTCCATATAATTTCGATTGCAAACAAAAACACACTCTTCTCTCAGGCGACTCTTTCTCAATCAATGAAGCTGATAACAATAATTAAAAGTGAATGAATGAGTTAAATTGGTTCTATATAATCTCTATATATTAGTACAATCGGTGCGATATAAAATAAGAAAAATGAATGAAACATCCGATAGGAGACAATCAGTGCAACATAAGATGCGGCAAAATTCAAAATGATGAATCATACGATAAGGCTCCCAACACTTCTCTCCTTTCAATCAGCAATGTTCAGCTAGAAAGGCTTTATTTTTCGAATTTATTTTGCTGCCAGAATTGGTAGTAATTCAAATGTAACCAACGATATTGATAGCGTTATAATGACGGAATATGTAACTAGTCCAGAAGATATTTACTTTAAGTCCAGAACAACTTATGGGCTCTTTATCCATAACTGAGACGTTAAAAAAACTTAGAGCAAAAACGAGACAAATAAAGTTGCGAGCAAAAGTGACACAACTCAGCATTGAGCAGAAAAGAAGTTTTTTTGCATTTGTCTCGCTACTGGAAAGGGACAGCGACTAGGTGTCGGCATTATTGTAGAAAATAAAAAGAACTACAAATAATATAAAGCTCATAAGGGTGTCAATTATTCATTAAATAGTTTATCGATCAACAACAAGTAACTCAGTCACGCAATTTTCTGTGGTGCTGTGATATCCAAACTAAGCGTAATACCGTAAATGCAATTTCCCCGATTAAACGAAACCTACATCAATCAGAAAAAAATTGACACTTATGTTTTAAATTTTTTATATTCACGATTCATTTATTTATACCTAATGCGACGCCATCTCATTTAAATTCAATAAACTTAAATAAATCCACTAAAGCGAACATTTCGAATACCGAGCAACGGAATTTATTGCGTTCACATGCTAAATACACTGTGTGAAAACCATTAATACGCTTGGAAAATCATTTAATCATTAAATGCACATTGAATCGAATGGGATAATGGGAAACAGATAAATAAAAAAAAACAGGTTTAATCATCAATGGATAAAATTGCATGGTTATGGAATGGATTAGAAATCGGAAACAATGTCTGATTTTCGTATAGAGCCAAACAGAAACGAGCAAATCCGATCCACTGCAAATGCCAGCACTGTGTCTGCTACCAGAACGCCAATCAAAATCTTTTTGAACTGAAAAAGAAAGGAGAAATTAGTAAAGGTTTTGGTCATAGTGTGAAATGGGTGCTTACTTCTTCTGGAAAATCGATGATTTCAAATGTTTGATTCAGTTCACTTGACACACCGAAGCTGAGCGCCACAATGACTGCACTCGATGCGAGTATAGCATACATGAGGAATTTATTCTCGCGCAATCGCTCCATAAACGGATGGCCCTTGTGATTCACAGCAAACGTTGACACTTGCAAGGCAAAGCAAATAATAAAAACCGTACTGTTGATAATATTCGGTTTGAAGGCTTCCTCCTCTTCACCCGGCGCCAAATCAATGTTTAGCTTCACTTTGCCTTCTCGTTGCGGACTTCGGGCGGTCGCTTCATAGGTCAGATAGACGAGTGCAGTAAAGTGAACCGCAAACTGGAGTAATATCGATGAAATCGTATAAAAATTGAAAATGTTTGGCAACGGTGCCTCCTTTGATAGCACTTTCAGAGGCTTCGATTTGATTATAAACAAGAAGCAGGCCGCAATGAAGATTCCCTGCAGCGTTGCCTGTGTATCACTAAATTTAAATCCATCAATGTATAACACCGATTGACAGTACGCCGAAATGAGCGCGTTCAACGCTAGGATTTTGAACATTTGTAGCGTGGTGACGAGCGTACAACGACCTTGCTTGATTATGTGACACACTGAAATGGGAAAGAAAAATTGTAAACATGAAGAGATTAAGACGAATTGATAATGCTTTTGCATACCGCAGTTAATCGATGATGTTTTGCTCGTGAATGGAGCAGCGATACTGGCATCGCCTAATTTGACAATTTGCACCTGTTCTTCATCCATGTCTTTGAGTGCCTTATTCAACAGAGCCTGTGACTGTTCACGATGTCTTGCAATGGCACGCTCTCTTGCTGTCAGCGGAGGTGCAGTACGTTCATTGACTCCACGGACTCGGTTTTGTATGGCATTATTACTCGCAGCAGGTGGTGGCACAATTGAACCCGGCGCTGGCAATGTATTTTCTGGTTTCACTTTTCCCCTTTTTATCGATGCATTACTAAGAATCGATACACCAACATGAGCATGTTTCAAAGCTCCAACATCATTGGTACCATCACCACACATCAATGTGAAGAATCCTGAAAATAATGACATATAGTGGATTAGCAAGGATTGATCTCTTTTTAAATCTTTCATTATTTTGACATTTTTTTCTTGTTTTAAGACATTTTCCTCCAAAACTCCCTAAGTGTCCATAGACTCTATTCAACATTCCCTTTTCTCTATTCTCTCTATTCAACCCTATTTCCACTCACCAAGTGATTTCAGTGTCGTTATGATGAATTCTTTCTGTTTTGGCGCAAATCGAGCATAGACGGTAATGTATGGAGCAATTTTCTGGAAATATTGATACTCGTATTCGCATAAGTATTGAAGCCCTTCTCCTGTAATGGCCAAATCGTAGTTTTGTATTAAATTTTTCCATGAATTAAAATCAATTGGCTCAACTTGGTCTTCATTTATCGAAATCCAAACGTATTTTGGCTTCTCGTCACTGGTATTTTGCACATCTTGACTCAACACCAAGATGGTTTTTCGTGTAAAACGGAGCTCCTTCGCCACATGACATGCCGTCAATGGATTGTCACCGGTAATCATTACAACTTTGTGTGATGACTTGACGATTTCCTTGATTGCACTCTTTGAATCACTTTTCAACGGGCATGAAATGATTACAAAGCCGGCAAATTCCAAATCTTTTTCCACATCTTCGCGTTTAATCTCACGAGCCTTTTGATTGTCCAATGTTCCGAATTCCTTGTATGCCAAGGCCAAAACTCGAGCGCCACGTCGTGAAAACTCTAAATAAGTCTGAAATCGAGAAATTGGTCGTTTTAATTAGGAACAAATTTGAGGATTGGGAAATAAAAGGATGAAAAATTCATCAATGAAAGAAAATTTATCCCAATTCACTTCAGGACAATTCACAATGTTTACCTTCTGATAATTTTCCGGAACAGATTTGAGCATTTTCATGACGACTTCCGGTGCACCTTTGACCGTTCCGATATAATGAACTTCATTGGTGAATTGAACGAGACATCCAGCCAAAACTGACATCCGTTTCAATGCTGACGAGAAATAGAATCGTTGGTAAATCTTCATAGCCTTGTATTTGGCTTTCTTCGGAATGACACTATCTTGTTTGGTAAGATTCCAGTCGATAGCGGTGAGTGTTGCTTTTTCCAGTGGATCTCCAACCAAACCATCATCGAGTTGAGCAAGTGAATGACACGTAGCAAGTACGCTTATTGTTTTTTCATTTGCTTCTGCGATGTTCAGCGTTTCCGATGTTGATTCAGTCAATCCGGCTATGCCTTCAACTAGAAGGTCATCGCTGGTCAGTGTTCCAGTTTTGTCAAAGCAGCAAATTTGCACTTTGCCAGCTAATGGAATTCTGAATGGTTCGGTGCAGAACACAAACAGCTTAGCCAATTTGATCAATGAAGTATTCACCGCCAATGACAATTCGATGGGCAAATCGGGTGGAATAATCGACGTCAAAATGAGTGTACATTCCAAAAACAGCTTGTATCGACTGCGTTCCAAATCTTCGGTGCCCTTGATCCATACGTAACTTGCAGCCGTTACGGCGAATATCAAAAGGAATAAAATGAATGCAAATGTTTCGGCATTGTTCTCAGTGACGCGTTGGACACCAAACAAAATGGTACGTAAAAGTTTTCCCTGTGATGTATTGAATCCCGTTCGGATGACATAAGCGATGCATCCATCGTCTGGTGCACGTAGAGCAACCTTTGTCGGTGGAGTGTGTTGCACAACTTTTGTACCGCCGAATAGAGTAAACAGTTTGCCATCGCTTTCAGGGTCAAGTTCGCGATTGATTTCATCGGTGGCTTCAAGTGACTCTTTAATTTGCGGCACAGATTCACCGGTTAACATACTTTCGTCCACGATACAACTACCTCTTAGCAATACAACGTCACACGGAACAAAGGAATCATTTTTGCTGCGTCCAACCGATATTAAATCGCCGGGTGTTAATTGATCCGACATAATTTGACGCCATTTATTGTTGCGATACACATTGACTAGGCTTGGTTTGTTGCCCATTTTCCGAATTTCCGCCATATTTCGGAGCTGTTGTTGCACCAACGTACACTCGAATACGACCAACATGAATAAGGTGAACAATGAGTAGTACATGTATTGATCCAAACACCATAATCCAACGGAAAATATTTGAAACACGAAAAATGGTGCAGTAGCACGTTCAGTAAATAATTTCAAAAACTCGGGTACAACCATTTCCATTTGATTATTTCCGTACCGTTTGTTTGCCAGCTCAACATCCACTTCGTTCTGATGACCTTTGCTATTCATATACTCGCCATATGTTTTGTGAATGGGAAAATCAATGCCACGGAACGTTTTCTTGTCTGCATCCCACACGTATTTGATCTTTTGGAAAATGAACCAAGAGATGATCTGCTTGTTAGCGTCATTTAACTGCGTTTGATGGACGGGTACCATTTCGGGTGAGCCATTATTTGGCATCGGTACAACTTTGACGAAGACATTCTCTTGTGGCAGCTCAAACTTTACCTTGGAAATGAAAATAGACAGAAAAATCGTTATAAATGAGCTCAATGGACAATATCGAAGTTGAATTTGTTGAAAACATTCAAACACCGCAAACATTTCTCTTATCAATTAGGGAGACACGTTTTCAATTTCATGGCAAAAGTGATTAGTCATATGATCGTAGTTACCTTTCGACAATTCAAAAATGCTGCAATATGAACGCTCCAATAGCAGCACAGCACGGTCAATATGTGCACACATCCGACCACAGCCAAAGCAATGAAACCGATTTCATAGTGGTCGGCATCGGTTTGGTATAAAAATCCTAAACAGATTAAATAGAACACTACGAACGGCCAGACAATGGCTCGCAGAGCAAGCGGTAGGATTCTATGAAGCGTGACATAATGAACTAAATCGTCGATTGAATGTTTCTTTTTAAAGTGTTGTGTCATTTTTCTTTGTTTATTTATGCGTGTATATTGGCCGGTTTAGGATGGTCTAAAAGGGAATAAAATTGAACCGAGCCGGTCAACTTCAATGTGTTGTGGGATTTCTTTTCGTTTTCGCACAGAATGAAAAAAACACCACTAATTTCGATGTGTGAATCTATTATTTCGGATGTGAGGAGCGAAAACTCTACGTGTTTTATACGTGACGGAAAAAGTCAAAACTGTGACGTTGCGGTCGATTCCATACGGACTTGTTAACTGCATTTGTCAAACCACGACAATCTCTCAATTCGATTCTCAATCCATTTCTCCTTCAAAATGGAATTGAAAGAAAAAAAACGTAATGTTTCTATTGACATCGAACCGATGTGAAGTTGGTTAATGCATAGTTTGACGATTCCATACCAAAACGAAACAAAAAATGAAATTGAACTCTGCTTTTTTGCTCAGTATGTAACGCATAAAACCAAAATATTCGTGTGACTTTCGATTCCCTTCTGAAGATTAGGCTGGTTTCAGTTTTAAAAAGACCAAAAAGAAATGAGGCTGTGAGAATGAAAATGGCAATACAGGAATAAACACTCTGAACCGCATCAAGAAAAAAAATTCGCCAAAGTGAATCATGAGTTCTGAATACGCAAAAGTGAACCATGAACCTTCTAAGCTGTCCATGTAAATTCATGTTTCACTTTTGCATATTCAGAACTCATGATCCATTTTCGCGAATTTTTTTTCTTGATGCGTTTCAGAATGTTTATTCCTGTATTGCCATTTTCATTCTCACAGCCTCAAATGTTGCACGATGTTTATGGATTTTGACATTACTTTTACCAGATGAATGGCTAAAGATTGTAGCCTGTCGCTTATAACATTGGCTGCTGAAATATAGTTCAAAAACTGTACATGAATTCAAATGCAGTGATATGTTGTATTCAAAATTATTATTATTTTTTTTTTTTTTTGAATAAATAAAAACCAATAAAAAGAAAATCGATTACTTTTCTACCATTTTCAACTGAATCAAAGACAAAAATCGAAAGAAAAAATTAATTTCTCCTCCATTTTTATACAGTATTCGATGAGCTCAACTCATTGCTGTTTTCAGCACATCGAGATTCGCATTCCTAATCATTTGTTTTCCATAAAATTCCAAAACCTAATCATAATCAAAACCACTATTAAAATTAATCGTCATTCCAATTGATGCGTAGAGCGATAGTTTTCTTCCTTGTTCTCACTAGAAGCGCATATTTCTTGACAAATATCTCGCGAACTGGGGTATTGAAATGCTCGTATGTATTGATGTTGAAACAAACACGAATACCTTTAATTCTTCGAATGAAAATGGCATTCGCAAATAGTGAAATGTCCTTAGCACTTTTATACAATTGGAATTGAACTTCCCTCTTGTGTGCTATCAAAATTGACGAGCTCTCCATTTGACAGCTTGAACTCGTTTGAGATTGACCAAACTGAACTCAGTGCTCATCAGTGCCATTTTTGTACTGAGGAAAAGATATTCTTCGACATAAATCGTAACTTTTTTCGCGCCAACCAATCGCGTTCGCTCCTTGTTCAATGCTGGCAAGTCAATGACACCATTTTTGTAGAAAGCACCTGAATGGCGCAGACCGCAGAATTTAATTTTCTTTACCTTCGCAGCGTAACGCAAGAATGGTATAATTTCGTCGATTGTGGCATGCCCAATGTAAATTCGTTCGACGTTAATGAGACTCTTTGCCACGACATCCAGATTTAAATTGACATCAAAAAAACCAAAACACAGTTCCTTTAGCTCTGGCATTGGTGGTAAAGTGGCCGGTGATTCTATGTGGTCTATAAACAATTTTTCCATTCCACGCACCGATGCGATTTGATCCAATCCTTGGTTCACCCTCGAAATGTATACATGTACTCGCTTGTAAAATCCTTGTTCGTATAGTTGATTGAGTAGTTCACAAATGGTATGCATGCCATTCTGATAGAAATAATCATGATTAACATTCAACTGGTCAATTTTAATGTTTGACCCCAAAAGACAGTTGCCATTTACGCAAAGAATTGTGAATGTAGTGGAGATTGTTCGAATATTTGGGTTCAATTCGAAGAACGTCTTCAATTCAGAGAATTCACCAGCCATATCACTTCCACGAACATAAACGTGTTCAATTGTCGGATACTGTCGATGTTGCCACCCATTGTCATTTCCGATGAATGCATTATTTTGATCAAATATTTCACCAATTGACAAATATTTCAAATTTGTGCACCATTTGAGAATTGACTCGTAGAAGTCACCATTCAGTTGGCGTATGTGGATTCCCAATCGTTCCAGCTGAGGCAAAATCCTTTTGAATGGATCGTTTTCATTTTCAGTCATTACACCATGTACTGTAGCCTCCTTGATCATTTTGATTTTATTCGGATCAGAATATAAAAAATCATCGCTTTGGAATACGCCAAAAGAAAATTTGCTATAACCAATTTTCACCGCTTTATAATTGGTTTTGATAACGTAGTCGGCCACTGATTTCATTCGTTTACACGTTTGGCGAAGTGAACGCAAGTCATCCAATGACAACCACTCGAATAACTCTTCAAAACAGTCGACGTTCAGCTTGAAAATAGGCGAAGATAACTGATTATTCAATGTGTCAGCTACAGCGTTTTGAGTTCGGTCCTGGTGGTCAACGGTGGTTGAACTTTCCATATCCAATAGAGTGTTTTCTGAACTTCCCCTTTTTTGTCACTAATTTTGTTGTTGGTCTTTTACTCCGAACGTTTACAAGAAAAACAAAAACATCAGTGACTCAAAAAAATGTACGATTCAAAGAATATTCAACTTACTCAATTTCTATTGACGCCGATGAATTGTATTGCTCAACAGATGATGAAAATGTCAAACGATGATGCATCGATTGCTTATTTTATATTTGACGTTAAGTACTTAAGTACGACTGACAGTATCTCTGTGGATATTTTTGAAAAGGTCGCCGAAGGGAATCACATCATCTTATTCAAGTTAACCAATCCATTACTGTACGAGAGACACACATTCTGGAGTATAATGATGGGAGGTTTCGCTTACTGGACATCGCTCATCAATGAAAAATAGTTCAAATTATCGATTCAGATTGATTTCAATGTTTATGCTAGGATCATCTTTATTTCATTCTGTTCATGAGTTCGTCGCAAGTTTTGTCAAAGCATGTGAGGTTAAGATATTCAAACCGGTGAAGTGTTTCTTTCCTCTGTGATTCGTATCATTCAAAGAACAACACGTTTATTGAATAAATTTTATTTTTATTTATGAATATCGTTTGCAAAAGTACAAAAAATCATCAAAAACGTTTTTATGTATTATCAGTAATGGAAATGGAAGTGTAATTTATACTAAAGTGTTTCTGGAAGATGAATGATCTTTGTACAGTTGGTATTGAATTTTGCTGTTTTATGCTATTCAAATTCATGAATCCATTCGACTGCTTCATCTCGTTTGAGATTGATCAAACTGAACTCAGTCTCCTTCGATGCTTTTTTTTTGCGAGAAAAATACTTTCTTTTGCATAAACTGTAACTTTTCTCGCGCCATTCAATCGTCCTCACTCTCTGTTGAATAATGGCAAATTGATGAAATCATCAACATCTGAGTAATGAGCTTCTTCATCTTCGACTTTGATTTCCTTTAACTTCGCAGCGTAACGCAAGAATGGTATAATTCGTTCGATTTTTGCACGCCCAATGTAAACTCGTTCGACGTTGATGAGACTCTCTGTCACGGCAACCAGGTCAATATGAGTAACAGGAAAAATAATGGCCAGTTCTTTGAGCTCTGGCATTGATGGTAAAGCGGCCAGTGAATCTGCAGAATGTAGATACAATTTTTCCATTCCACGCACCGAAGCGATTTTTTCCAATTTGACCATTTTAGATTTATCCAATTTGTTCGCGTGATTGCATAAAAGGGTTGTCGTTTCCAGGAAATAGATCGCATGTCGTGGATAGTGTTTGGATTTTTGGGTTCGATTCGAGGAGTGTCTTGAATTCAGACATTTCGTTACCCACAGCATGATGTCCCATGAGTTTGACGTGTTCGATTTGTGGATACTTACGATGTAGCCACCCATTGTTGTTCCCTATGATAAGATTATCTCCGATGCGTTTGATTGCCAAATACTTCAACTTTGGAGACAATTTGAGAATTGATTCAAAGAAGTCGCCATTCAATCGCCATGTGCTAATTTTGAGTCATTCCAACTGAGGCAAAATACCTTTACCATAGTCCAACGGAAAAGATTTGAAATACAAAAAATGGTGCGGTGGCACGTTCAATAAAAAATTCCAAAAACTCGGGTACAACCATTTCCATTTGATTATTTCCGTACCGCTTTTGTGCCAGCTCAAAACCATCTTCGTTCTGATGACCTTTGCAATTCATATACTCTCCATATGTTTTGTGAATGGAGAAATCAATGCCACGGAACGTTTTCTTGTCTGCATCTCACACGTATTTGATCTTTTGGAAAATGAACCAAGAGATGATCTGCTTGTTAGCGTCATTTAACTGCGTTTGATGGACGGAGCCATTATTTGGCATCGGTACAACTTTGACGAAGACATTTTTTTGTGGCAGCTCAAACTTTACCTTGGAAATGAAAATAGACAGAAAAATCGTTATAATTGTGCTCAACGGACAATATCGAAGTTGAATTTGTTGAAAACATTTCTCTTATCAATTAGGGAGACACGTTTTCAATTTCATGGCAAAAGTGATTAGTCATATGATCGTAGTTACCTTTCGACAATTCAAAAATGCTGCAATATGAACGCTCCAATAGCAGCACAGCACGGTCAATATGTGCACACATCCAACCACAGCCAATGCAATGAAACCGATTTCATAGTGGTCGGCATCGGTTTGGTATAAAAATCCTAAACAGATTAAATAGAACACTACAAACGGCCAGACAATGGCTCGCAGAGCAAGCGGTAGGATTCTATGAAGCGTGACATAATGAACTAAATCGTCGATTGAATGTTTCTTTTTAAAGTGTTGTGTCATTTTTCTTTGTTTATTTATGCGTGTATATTGGCCGGTTTAGGATGGTCTAAAAGGGAATAAAATTGAACCGAGCCGGTCAACTTCAATGTTTTGTTGGATTTCTTTTCGTTTTCGCACAGAATGAAAAAAACACCACTAATTTCGATGTGTGAATCTATTATTTCGGATGTGAGGAGCGAAAACTCTACGTGTTTTATACGTGACGGAAAAAGTCAAAACTGTGACGTTGCGGTCAATTCCATACGGACTTGTTAACTGCATTTGTCAAATGATACGTAAGACCACGACATTCGTTTGATTCACAATCATTTTCCCTTCACAGTTTGAACGTGAAAGAAAAAAAAATACGTAATGTTTCTATTGGCGTGAACCGGTGTGAAGTTGGCCGTCGTGCAACATTTTGACAAGAAACCGATTGGAGCGAATGTCAACAGCACATGTGAAATATAGTAATGATACGGTGAACGAAAACCATATACCGTCTTGGAAATGTAGTTGTGTTTATATAATATTATAACAACGACAGAAAAAAACGAAAATATAGTGACAAATCAAATAAAACATGAGACGACTGGTGCTGATAGTAATGAAACATAGTCGCGTTCTGATAATGTGTGAATAAAATAAACAGATAATGTTGAAATGTTCGTAGTCCAAGGTGCGTATTTGTGTGGGCTGTAAACACAACCACAGTCGAACATTTTCATTCATATGAAATTGAAAAAAAAAACGATTATACATATATTTTTTGTATTTATTCGTCTATTCCGGTCGAGTCAGCGTGCTGGCTGCTTCAGTTGACTTTCGCGTTATATTGCGAATGGTTGTAGATATAATTTACTCAAAATTTTGTGTGAACGTATTCAGTTGTTTTGTGTTTAATTCACAGTCGTGCTAATTCTAAAGGTGAATTGATTTTTCTCTTCGTTCGCCCGACCACTGTTTGCTCTGCGCAATTGTGTCAATATGACAAACAATACCGGCAGCTGTTCGTTATAATTCGTATCAAAGAAATATTTCGCGATTTTCAGTTCGAAAATAAAATTTCTGAATCGATTACGTATTTTCATCGCAAAAAAACCTCTAAACATATTTTTTGGCCAACAAATAAATTCAACGTGATTGGCATGTGTGTCGTATGCTATTTGTTCGCGTATTCATAGCTTTCGCTGAAAAAAAAAATTGTGCGATTTTTAACGCAAAAAAAAGTCGTTATTTGATGGCAATTTTTTTTGCTGGTTAGATCGATTTTTATTTATATCGATGACCTTTGGTTCCATTCGTTGTTGTTTGATAACATGCGAATCGGATTTTAAGCAAATAGAGACAAAGGCGCACATACCAAACTTAAATTCATACATTGGACTACGTTGCTATACGCATGAAACGTATTCTCAATCATACGTGTACACACTTAGTTGGCACTCTTTATAATTGATTCAAATAAATGTAAATGTACTTTCGAACGAAAATTGACAATTTCCTATATAGATTTTGAATGAGGAAACGCCGATCTAATTTAAACACCGATCGCGTGACAAAATTACTTTAAACAAGTTTTTTTTTTAAATCTCAATTGAACAACGAGATTTCAGTTTAACTGGCGATGAAATGAATAATCCCCAAAACATTCATTACTCAAATCAATGTGTCATGTGCATTACAATCAACGAAATTATTTACTATCAAGGCCAGTCACAATAGGACGAAAATATAAATACACGTCAAAATATTGGCTACCGAAATACGAGCCACGAATCGAATCCGATTTAAATTCCATTGACTCGTGTAATTTCAATTATTTTTGATGAGTACAATTATGCATTGATTTTTCTTGGGTAGAACAAGTTTCGCTTTTGATATATCCGTAGGCGATTTGTTGAAAAAGAAAGAGAAGTCGTTGAAAAAAAAAACGTTATAAACATTCAAGTGAGTATACACACTATTGACAATGATCTTGGAGGTTTTCGCAAAAAAAGTTCTATTGATCGCATTGATAAGAAAGTCTCAAGAACGCAAAATTCTGCGAAATCACCGTTGAGCGTAAAGTGCAACAAGCCACTTATGTGGTAATCAAAACGTACTTTAATTCATGGAAAACTCAAAAGAATTCAAAACAAAGTAGTTTCGCTTTCGATTGTTCGAACTAATTTGTGATCGTGTGTGGGAAACAAGTGTTTATTTTTGTACCTTGCTTAATGACGTAAAACAATCTTTGAAATCTGATAATAAATATCTGTCCTTTCGGAAATGACGAGACGATAAAATAGAGTTCAATCAACTAAATCAAATGTGGCCCAGAATGATTTTTTTTTATTTTTACGTCCTTTTGTTGATAAACAAAGACTGCATTTACGGTTAATCAATACGAATGAAGGGCACGTTTCTATAAGTTGCCTGAGACCTGATTCGAATAAATGATATCATGACATCGACCAGTTTTTACGCTACATATTCCAATATTGGTGATAAGATTTGTGGACTTTGGACTTAGACTTTTCCCAATCATCTGACGCATTTGTCAATTGTCTCTCTTCAGACGTCAATCGTTTTTTTCCTCGTTATTTTATTCAGAGCAATAGCGCAATAAAAGTTTACAATTGACTCTAAATTAGCACAAATGATAAAACAATTAAATCTCTGTGAGGGATAAGTGGATAACGCATTCGTTATACGAACAGTTGTTAACAAATAACATTCATAGTAAAAAAATGTGACAAGAATGAACAAAATCGATAATCAGGGGCTTCAACATGGAAAAATTGTTTTCAAATTTGAAAAAAGCGAATTAAATAAATTTGATTAATTCCCAACTTCCGTACACAAAGTATCACTGATTAGGTTTTGAAAAAAATGAAAAAACGGTTCTATAACGCTTCTACATTTGATAATTTTAAGGTCGTTCTGTGTTCCATTGCACGACATTCTATAAAAGCATTTCAAAGGCCCCTTGGTTTTTGGCTTAAACAGCAAATTATCTTCACACGTGTGCGGTTTACTATACTCTTTGCTTGAGATTTTCCTCAATTCATGCGGCAATGTGCTAGTATTGGACTATATTGGAATGTGCGAAACACAAGAAGGTCTATACAAAAATTGGATGTCAAAATTTTTTGTTGATATTGTTGATTTCATTGCTTTATAACGTCAAGAAGTTATTGAATCGTGTATTGAATCACGCCGGTATCACAAAACGTTATCAAACCAAAGTGAAAAAATTTTATGATCAAAGCAATTTCTGCCTGTCAAATCGGTTCAAAAATGTTGAACATTCTTTTTGAATTCATTATTATTGATAATGTTGTTTAACAATGATAATAGATTCTAAATTTTGGAGATATCCAGAACGTTCAATCCCATTTTTTATTGGATATTCAACAAAAAAAATGCAACAAATTCATAAAACAAGTGCCGATCAATTTGAATGACAGAAGGCGATCAGTCACATGACCGATTTATCATTCGTTGTAAATAGCAATTGCACGTTATTCGTTGACGCGGGCAATTGATAACTATTAAAATAATTGATGGGTTTCGATTAATGAATAAATTAAAAAGTGATCGCTTTACTTGGTATGGAAATTGAAATTAATTGTTGTCTAACGATACGTTTTATTTCATTTCAGAAAAAATGTCATCTGGAGGTCCCACATTCCACAATGAAACCCATTTTCAAATCGTTGATTATTGTGTGTTCTCAGCTATGTTGATTTTGTCAGCCACCTCAGGCGCATACTTTGGATACATCAAGTAAACAATTTAAAAGAAAAAGCAATTAAGCTTGTTTCATTCACTAATTGAACATGTATCATTTCACGCTAATTAGGAGACACAAAGAGAAAAAAGAGAAACGAAACCCAGCACCGTCGATACATGATGGGGCATCGAAGAAGGCGGCCAGTGATTTTGGCTCGAAATCGTTGAATGAATATTTGTTGGGCTCACGGAAAATGAAACCATTTCCAGTGGCTATGAGTCTTGTTGCCAGGTAAATTGCATATATATCACAAAATCAACGAACAAAAAATGTCCAACAAACGTTTAATGGATTTGTTGACTATTAGCTACATTTCAGGTGTGACAATTCTCGGTACACCGGCGGAAATTTACAGGTAAATATATGTCTAGTCTAATTATACATTATCTATGAAATGTCTCAAATTTTGTTCAATTTTTCGCGGAAACCTATAGTTTCGGGACACAGTACTGGCTAATTATCGTACCAATTATATTGATGGGCTCCACCGTAAGCTCCGTGTACCTACCTGTTTTCACAACACTGCAAGTCAGTTCATCATATGAGGTAAATGATGGAAAATTATGAACTGAAAATCAGTTGGATTAAGACTCAAACAATGCTTTTGTCTCGTATTTTACAGTATTTGGAGCTACGATTCAGTTCAACCGTTCGTACAATAGCTTCGGTTATGTTTGTGATAGATGAGGTAAGCAAAAAATGATGAAATCATAGCAGCAAAAATGTTTAAAACATGACAAAAAAATTTCAATGCAAAATGCTCTGGCTTTTGTTAACAAAAACCGCAGCTTTAATTTTCAATTGAGAAATTCATTACGTTGCGTTTACAAGCAAATAAAATTGCTTCAAAAGCAACAATATTGAAATATTGGAAATATATGTTTCGGAGCCGTTGTTGCTATGGAACGTGCATGCGGTAATATTGTCGAATCCGTTTACGCAGATTCGGTATTCTATATTCATAGACATCGTCATCAGCCGAAGCGAAAACGTGTAGCGATTATCATAAAGAGTCTTTATTAAAGACATAACACGCCTCAACAAACATAACTCTATTGCCTTACAAAATACAAATTAATTTATGATTTTTTCGTCCACTTTAATTCAGATTCTGTTTTTGCCAATCGTTTTGTATGTTCCAGCGTTGGCATTCAATCAAGGTGAATATCACGATTGCGTTCGTCTTTGTTTTTTTTTTGTTAGCATGCCAAAAACATTCTATCACACGATGAACTGAACTGGCTATAAATACGTGTTTGTTTTTTGTTTACAGTGACGGGTGTAAATATCTACTTAATCTCTGGCATCGTGTGTGCAGTCTGCGTGTTCTACACATTTGTTGGTGGCATCAAAGTAAGGCAAATTTAGATTTTATACAATCATTAGATTGAGCTAACAACATTCTTTTTGTTTGTTTCTATTTAAGGCTGTAGTTTCAACGGATGCATGGCAAGGTGAGCCACATTTATGAAGCGCATTTTTAACCGAATGAACTTTATCTAATCACTTTTTTGTCATTTTAGTGGTTGTTATGTTTATATCGGTCGTTGTGGTCACAATGCTTGGCACCGCCGCCACTGGAGGCTTCGTGAATATTTTCGAAAAGGCCTCCGAAGGGAATCGCCTCATTTTATTCAAGTAAGTCATATTTTTGCTGGACAATTTCTGTTATATTCCAAAAATAAAATCAATCGCTACCACACAAGGATAAAAAACGCATATTCCATACCAATCAATCGATTTTAATCGCTTCTTTCATTTTATTTTCATAGTACCAACCCATCAATGTACGAGAGACACACCTTTTGGAGTATAATGATAGGCGGTTTTACTTACTGGACATCATTTAATTCCGTCAATCAGACAATGGTGCAACGATATATGTCGCTGCCGAACTTAAAGAAAGCACGACAGTAAGAATTACCGTTTGATTTCGTTCTGTTGAAATTGCACATTCAAACTTCTACAACGAAAATCCTTTCCGTTTCCATTTCAGATCGATTGTGATATTTGTGCTGGGAATTATAATCTTTATTTCGTTCTGTTGTTATGCCGGTGTTTTGATTTATGCCGCATTTCATGACTGTGATCCAAAGTTAGCCGGATTTGTTGAGGTGGGTCGTGAGTTGAAATGAAACTCGTTTTTGTTTTTCTACAAATCATTCGATGCCAATCAAAATTCATTGGCAATTTCCATTCATGAATAATGAACGAATTCGATTTCTTCTAGAATGACGATCAATTGTTCCCGTTTTATGTAATGCAAACGGTAGGCAAGCTCCGTGGAATACCTGGATTGTTTATTGCTGGCATCTTTGGAGCTGCTTTGAGGTAAAAAGACCCATTATTGGATCAAAAATGACATTTTAAATAGAAAATCACACAATTAATGTACAATATCATGTACCAGATCTGAGTTGTGATCCAATTATCTATCAATCAAAGCAACTCATTGAAAACGACAAATTTTCTCTCCATCCGTTTCAGTTCGCTGTCAGTAATTTTAAATTCGACGGCTGGAGTTTTGCTGGAAGACATATGCCGAGGATGTTTCAAGAGTAAACCATCGGAGAAGGCGTCAACCGCTATAGTCAAGGGCAGTGTGTTAGTTTTGGGTGCATTGTCCATGGTTTTCCTGTTGATTGTGGAAAAGCTGGGAGGTATTTTGGAAGTGGCCACCTCGTTGTCAGCTATTGCAGCTGGAACAACATTCGGTGTATTCACATTGGGAATGCTTGTGCCATGGAGCAACAATGTAGGTGCCATTTGTGGGGCAATTAGCGGTGCGTTTATGTCTGGTTGGATTTCATTTGGAACACAGGCAGCGATAGCCTCTGGAGCGATTCAGCCACATCGATTGAACATGTCAATAGCAGGGTGTGATGCATTCGCAAACGCAACGACGTCTCCCCAACTACCACATGACGAATCTGAAGTGTTTCCATTGTATCGGCTGTCATTTATGTGGATCAATCCAAGTAAGCAAAAGATTTCTAATCAAGTTTCAAATGAGAATTTTTCTAATTCAATCCTTTTTACCCATTTTCCAGTTGGAATTTTGTCAGTATTAATTGTGGGCATGATTGCATCTTATGTCAGTGGGCCACAAGATCTAAAAAAGCTTAATCCAGATTTGATCTCGCCGGTTATACATCGTTTTCTACCCGATGAATGCTTTCGTGTCCAAGAGGACAGTCGATGTGCATCAGCTGAGCCCACCACCGAATTGTTCACTCTAAAAATTGGCGAAAATAGTAGATACAATGACTGCCATGAAACACACAATATGGAAACTACGTCCTAACATTGTTAACTTCTAAAGTACAAATACTAATTTTATACACTGGTTTTCGAGAGCTATTTCGTTTTTGTGAAATGCCAAAAACAGGAGAGAAACCAAAACTGGGACCTACATAGCACACCCGTTCGTTTTTCTTTTGATAACTTAACGCATTTTTCATTCGAACAAATCAAACACACTTTATACTTAATTGATGTTAAAACGACAAATGTTTTCAAGCATATTGTAGTTGCCAATGTTTAATGTCATTGTAAAGATTTTCTGTGATATTCCATAAGTAATTTCTGGTATGAAAGATCAAAAAAAAATAAACGTTTCTACATGGTCTAGTGACAGTAGAAAAGAAATAAACTTGCATTTTTGTATCCTGAAAAATGCATTTAAAATCTTCTAATAAAATCTGAAGTCAAGAAGAAAAAACTGAACAACTTTTGTTGTGGAGAATCTTTTGGATAATTCAAGAAGAGAAGGTCAAACCTATGAGGTATTTCTTTTTGCTATGAATCACAGTACAACACTTGTGTATTGGTGTGCTGTCGCTTCGTTCGTCTTTCTTGTTGGAGTGAGATATATATATAATATTGGAATAATATAATGCCATATATATATATGATCGTAAATGATTTTTTTATTCCATAAATTGGTAACAAAAGTACAAATAGACATCAATCTCATCACTTCTTGCTTTTCTCCCTTCATTTTCATCAGCAAAGGATTGGTAACTGGGAAAAAACTATACAAAAATAAATTTTCAAAATCCTTGTACAATTCGAATGGAATTTTGTCTTTTTATGCTACTAGTATCGAAGTTGATGGATCCATTCGACTGCTTCAGCTCGCTTGAGTGTGACCAAACTGAAATCAGTCTTCATCAGCGCCATTTTCGTTGCAAGAAAAACGTCTTCATGTACATAAATCGTAATTTTGCTGGCACCAGCTAATCCTTTTCGTTCCTTGTTCAATGCTGGCAAGTCGATGACGCCATTCTCGAAATGAGCTCCTCCATTCAAACGGCCAACTTTAATTTCTTTCACCTTCCGAGCATAGCGCAGGAATGGTATAATGTCTTCAACTTTACCTTGACCAATGCAAACTCGTTCGACGTTCATAAGACTCTTTGCGACGGCGTCCAAAGCTATATAATCACCAACATACCTGATGCCCAGTTCTTCAATATCTGGCTTTGGTGCCAAAGTGAGTTTATCTGACGAGCAAAAATCTAAATACAGTTTTTCCATTCCTCGTACCGATATGATAAGATCCAATTCTTCTTGGAGAGTAATGTACGAAGCTTCCATATGCAATCGCTGATAAAACCCTTGGTCGTGTAGCTGATTGAGTAGTTCACAGATGACATTCATACCATCCTCATAAAAACAGTCACCATAAACATTGAGCTGGTCAATTTTTATGTTTGACCCTAAAAAACCGTTGCTATTTACACGCAGAAGGTTGAATGTGGTGGAAAATGTTTGAATATTTGGGTTCAATTCGAATAGAATCTTCAATTCGGGGAATCTGCCAGCCATTCCAGGTCCACCAATATCATTGTCATCCATTGCGATGTGTTCAATTGTCGGATGCTGCCGATGTAGCCACTTATTGCCACCTCCGATGATAGCATAGGAGTTGCTGTGGATGGAACCGATCGACAAATATTTCAAGTTTAAACACCGTTTGAGAATCGACTCATAGAAATTGCCATTCAATCGGTATGTGCTTATTTTCAGTCGTTCCAACTGAGGCAAAATGCATTTGATCACATTGATTTCTTTTTCAGTTAACGGGTCGAAACATATTCTAGCCTGCTTGATCATCTCGAGACTGGTCGGATTAAGTTGTTGAAATTGGTCGATCTTATCTTCGTGAAGCACAATACGTCCATAACCAATTTTCATCGCTGGATAATCCGATTTGATGAAGTAATCGATGACTTGTTTTAACCGTTTGCACGTTTGACGAAGCGAACGCAAGTCGGCCAATGACAGCCACTCGAATAACTCCTCAAAACAGTCGACGTCCAGTTTGAGAATGGGCGATGACAACTGACTATTCGATGAGACAGCTACGGCATTTTGAATTTGGCTCTGATCCACCGTTGACTTTTCCATATCCGCTTGAGTGTTTTTCTCAACTTTGCCTCTTTCGTCACTCATTTTGATATTGACCACTTGCAATTAGTAATTAATTACTAATCATTAGATGCGATTGACTCAAACAAATACCGTTTTTCGACTTTTATTCTGAAAATCAAGACATGAAATATATGAATTACTCAAGAAAAATGAACAATAAACATCCAAAGAGAAATCAACTTACCCAGTTTTAATCGATGCAGTTTGATTCATTTGCGGCGCTCAACAGATGTTTTTTGTTGCGTCAAGTTGGTTTTGACCTTTGGTGCAGCAAGTGATTTGCATGCAATAATTTTATTGTTGCAATTTATGGTAGCGATTCTAACACTGAATCAGACCAATCAATAAGCAACAGAACAGACAAACGTTGCGTAATCAATGATAACTTACAAATTGAATCAAATGAAATGCACGTTTTCCGATTCTTAAATGGTTGTGATCGTGGAATATTTGCAAATTTCGTGTAAATCGATGACCAGCAATGTGTGAATTGAACGGGTGAGATTTGACAGCTGACCGTTCAGTGTGACGTTGCCGCAGTTTATGTGATGACAAATGCAATTCAATCGTTTTAGCGCAAAAATAAATGCAATATGAAAAAAACACTTGTCAATGTTATTGCAATCCAAGAAAAAATATCATTCATCATTGAATTGAAAATGTTGTTGTGATAATTCTGGTGTTTTTATTGGTAGAATAATGAAGAAGAAGTGTCGAATATAAGCCTCAGAAAAAAGCGGTTTACGCATCCTCTAATATTCTTTTCAAAATATTATCGCACAGATTTTTCAAGATAACAATGCAAGCGGCAATCCACTCAAAAGTAATACATAATACCTGCGAAGTAATACGAAGTAATACTAGGTAAAATTGGTATTACTTTTGATAAAGTAATACTCCTTTTAAAAATAATACTATTGTTTGAAAAAAGTAATACTAAAGTAATACAAGGTATTTACATTAGTATTACTTAAAGTAATACTAATACACAGTATTACTTTTGAGTGGTTTGCCCCTCGTAACAATGTCAAAACAATTTATGGAATTACAATTTCACCTGTGCACGTGTGTTTAATTTCGCGTTTTACATTTTAAGCCTGGTATTTTTCAGAGAGTAACTTACTCTGAGCAAGTATGCGTTGAAACTACGTTGTAATTGTGATTGACAAAAGTTTATTTTTCTAATGATACCTACTTATTACATACAAACAGTTAAGGTTGCACAAATGCAGCAAAATGATATCTTCTATTTAAAAGCGTAACAGAAAAGTTGATGGTTGAACAAAGCAACAATACTAATATTGTTGACCACACAAATTGATATGGTTAAAGATTGACAAAAAATTATTGGAATAATTCTTCTACAGGACAATCGAAAACGGGAATCGAAGGAAATCATCCGATTATTCAGCTATTCGCCACCTGGAAAATACAGATCGACTGAAGATCAAACAATTTCTTGTTTTGTGAAAATATAAAAAGAATTACATTCGTAATCCCGTACTTTTCCGTACAGTTGTTCGTACTTTTTTTTCATATTTTGTATAAAAAAGCATATTTTCAGTGAAAATCGGTCATTTTAGTCAAAATTTCGACAATTTCGTATGGGAGGTACTTGTAAATCGATTCCGAATCCCAAATGAACCATTTGCGGAGATATCCAGTGTACAGCGGAGCTGTGCGGAGTTCGGCGGAGATACCGTACATACGCTATACGTGTGAGCGAAACAGCACTCTTTGCTGTGTTTACATTTCTATTGTTCAATACACATCTAAGTAGCCATGAGCGCACTGCTTTAATTATAGTGTATGTATGGCATCTCCGCCGAACTCCGCACAGCTCCGCTGTGCACTGAATTTCTCCGCAAATGGTTCAAATTGGATGGCTTCAAACTTTCTAAGATTTATGGCGAAAAATAAGAATCTTAGAGTTTGAAGTCAATCGGAATCGATTCACAAGGTTGCTGCAACAGCAATATACCACAGGCGATCCTGGTGGCACCGATTGTAATGTGTTGAAAAATACATTGTAACACACAGGATTTCACTATCGGTGCCACAAGGTGTCGCTAGTGGTAATGCTCTTGCAGCAACGGTGTGAATCGATTACACATCCCATACAAAATAAATTTCAAGAAAAAATCGAGGGCCAAAAACCAAACTTATGCAAATGTGAATCGCGATCAACGTGAAACTTTCAGAATTTCATTTTTTCACCAAAAAATGAAATCTCAGAAAATCTGAAGCCAATCAAAATCGAATGAGTCGCATTTTAAGGTTTGTTGTGTCTTTGTATGTTCACACCGAGTTTTATTGTTTGAGTTGTTGTAATTTTTTGGCGTGCGCTCGCACCACAACACATTTTTGCATGTTTTGCTTTCTGTGTATACTTTTCTTCTTTTTTCTCTCACTCACAATCGCAAACAGAGAGCTGAGTTCAGTGTAATTTGATACTCGCTGAGGATGACAAATGTCGAAATGCATCCAAACCAAAATTTCGTTTATAAATAAATATTCATATTGATTTATGTTTGAAATTTGAAAAAGCAAAGTCATTTTAAGGTGTTTTTTGGATACAAAACTTCTAGAAGATCCAGATTCTGATTATCTCAACTATTTTTTGAGTTATCGTGTTAACACACACCAAGGACGACGACGACAAAGACCACGGCACACAAACGGAAAAGTGTCTCAAAAACGTGTTTTCTACGCGTTTCATGAGTTTTCATGATGATCTAAACCAGTTTCGCGAAAAAAGTTTTCGGGACCAATTCCCTTAACAAAGTGTACGGAAAAGTAAAATATTCAACATTACCATTCTTGGCAGCATATTGAATCTATTGCAAATGTTCTTCAATATTAATTCGGTTTCCTTTACCGATAAAAAGTCTAGCGACATCATTGTGACCTGAAAAATAATAATACAGATCAATGGAAAAGATCAAAGCGGTATTTAATTTAGTCAGCAGTACCATGGTTATCAGCTAACTGACGAGGTGTTTCATTCGCATCATTTCTAATATAAACGTTGGCTCCTTTTTTGATGAGAAGTTCAGCAACATTCTTTTGACCTTAGAAATAATTTAGATCGATGAAAAAGATCAAATCAATCTTTTATTTAATGAAAACAAGTATTCAACATTACCATTTCTAGCAGCATAATGAAGAGGTGTATCATTTAAATTATTCATGATATCCATACTGGCGCCTTTGTTGAGGAGAACCTCGGCGACATTTTTGTCACCTGAAAAATAATTCAGATCGATGGAAAAGATCAAATCAATCTTTTATTTAATGAAAACAAGTATTCAACATTACCAATCATAGCTGCCAAATGAAGGGGTGTATTATTAAAATTATTCATGATATCCATACTGGCGCCTTTGTCGAGGAGAACCTCGGCGACATTTTTGTGACCTGAAAAATAATTCAGATCGATGGAAAAGATCAAGCCGATTCTTTATTTTGTGAAAATACTTATTCAACATTACCATGTATAGCAGCATAATGAAGAGGTGTATTCTTCAAAGCATCTCCAATATCAGCGTTAGCTCCATTCTTGAGAAGAACATCAGCTACACCTCTGTGACCTAAAATAATACGGATCAATGAAAGAGATCAAATCAATCGTTTCTTTAATAAGAACAAGCATTCAACATTACCATTTTTAGCAGCTAAATGAAGAGCTGTGGTATTCAAAACATCTCCAATATCAACATTGGCTCCTTTACTGATGAGAAGTTCAGCGACACTCTTTTGACCTGAAAAATAACCCAGATCGATGAAAAAATTAAACCAATTTCCCATTTAGTGAAAAAAAAGTCACGGCTGCACTGACGAAGTGTAGTAGACATCACACACAACTCTGACACCCGTGTATATATGCTAGTCGGTTTTGTGTGTGAGTTGGTTGCGATGGCTGTGCATGCGATGTTTGTTTGCACGATAGTTGTGTGCGCGGCAGTTGCATCGCGATTTGCTTGTCTATTGGCCGAAGCATATTCATTGCTTGCTGCTTAGCAATACTAATGCGCATATTACTCGAAAAGAGTATTCAAAATTACCATGGGAAGCAGCATAATGAAGAGGTGTCTCTTTCTCATTAGTTTCACTATCAAGATTGGCTCCTTTGCGGATGAGAAGTTCGGCGACACTCTTGTGACCTGAACAATAACACCGATCGATGGGAAAAAATCAGGTCACTCTTTTATTCAATAACAATTAGTATTCAACGTTACCTTTCTTAGCAGCATAATGAAGAGCTGTCCCATTTAAATTATTTCCAATATTAGGGTCGGCTCCTTCAGCGATGAGGTTTTGAGCTTCCTTCACTTTGCCTGAAAGAATATGAAAAATATTCATAGATCAATGAAACGGATTGAACAAAACATTCTTTTTTATAAAAAAATGTCCAAAATTACCAGCAATGGCAGCTCTATGCAGAGATGTCTCTCCAATCATGTATTTTTTGTTTACTAAAATATGTATGAAAAGTTTAGCATAAATGAGGTTCCCATATCTTCGTTACAAGGTGCTTTGTATATGGAATTTAAGAGTTAAACTGGATAAATAAATGAAACTTCAATCTTACCGTTCCTCCTGGGTGGTACTCCGCTCACATCCCCGATTAAGAACTGTGGAAATAGAATCAAAGTG